TTCATTCTCATACTTAATGATTCGAGAGTACTGTTAATGTTACTGTTAGAACTCCTATAAAACATATTTTATAGAATACTTTCAATTTCTTTAGTTTTATGGTTTTAGTTTGATTCCTTGATACTTGTTTTTTATTATTTTGAACGGGACAAGAAGCCATACACTGATTAGAGTTATAACACTTCCCCGACAAATAGTAATGTCGCATCGCACTTTTGTTTTCATTACCTACCAATAGAGTTGTTTTATTTATTGTCAAAACTTATGCAAATCTATTCTCAGAAACCTAAAGATACCACTGGGAAGGCATGTATACACATTGGAATATTTAAATTTATAATAATATTCAAATTTGTTTCGTATAACCTTCACCATTGGAATTTCCAAAAACAATAAAGCCATCGATGTTCAGCCAGTCGACCTGGTAATAACGGTGCTTTTACTAATAAAAAAACGTTCGTGCGAAAAGAGATTCGTGTTATGTCCATAGACATTCCCATCAACAGAAATTGATATTACGACGACGCGTTAATTGAGAAAAACTGACATTAATTCGCCTGTATTAATGCGCCCATGGCTAATTTAACGATCGCAGTAGCCGTAGAGACGATCGCAGATTTCTCCTCCAGAGTACGTAGGAAATATAGTGTCCATTCTGAACAGTGCGGAATATAGACCCAGAGGCCGACCCAAAACCAGATGTGGTTAGAAAAGTTCCAAGTCCTCGCAACGTTGGTGAAGACTGGAACTGGAGTGAGAACTGGAAGCGCGAGACCAGAAATGCAGACCACACCATCAGATGGGAATAATCGGTGTACAGGAGATAGAGAGAAAGAGAGTGACGAGCCTATAATACACGTCATATAGAAGGAAGTCCTTTATTTATATAAGAGATATGGCAAATGAAACAGTTCACCACAGTTCACACAAAGATGCTCAAAACAACATAGAAGCGTGACGACAACCATTGAAAGCATGGCCCTGCGGTTATTTAACTTCCGATATAACTATTCTGATCATTAAGAGGATCATTCTGATCAATTTAGAGAGTTTAACAACCCCTTTGGCAACAACTCAAATAACATATGAAAAACCATTTGGCAGCTGATTAGTTAACTTTTTCTATGATCAGTGTTTCAGAGCGTAAGAGAATGATTGACTCTTTACTAAAGAAACCAATTAATTTAGTTGCATGCTATCTAAATTCATAAATGAAATAATACTTATGTTAGAGTTTTGAAGAATTATATTTAATAGAAAGTTATCATTAATGTTAAAAAGTTTTAATACAAGCTTGAGTAAAGAATATTATCTATACATCTATACAGGTAAATAAAATTTGAGTGTCTATTTGTAATATAAAAATAACCACTTTTTACTAAAATAATATTTTAGCAAGAAAAAGTGGGTGTTTTCTTCAAGTTTTATACATTAAGCTTAGTTTTCTACTTCATATCAACCTGCAGTATGTTTCAAATATTACACAGATATTGAGCACACTTATTATTCACCCGTCATAACAATGCTTTTCACTTCATTGGAAGATCTCTCGGCTTTTGTTATAAAACATGCATAAAATACTTTCGGGGCGACACCTGACCTCAAACATAGCGATGGACAGAATGCTTTCTGTAGACACTCATACTGTTTAAAAAATCTGTTATAGAAAGACAAATCTTTACTCTAATGGTAAATTGGCGAGAACCGCAGGGTCAGTGAAAAGATATCTCCCTGGTTTAGAACTAAGGAAAGCCAGAGACTAGACTCCTGCGCGCTTATTCGAAACATTAATTGGTTCCGATTTCAGATTCCAGATTCAGATTTGCAGTGCAAAATGTAGCGATAATTTATCGCTAACACCCTTGACTTGGGCCAACGCATTAAATCACGCCACATCGTATGATCGACGTCTTTTGTTTTAGTACCTATATAAGCCCCTGCATTTCTTCAAATAAACTTTATTGTCTGTTTTGATCTCGACGTTTTAATTTGCATCAAATACTCTAGTTCCTACACAAAACATTTTACACACAATTACCTGCATCTGTATTATCGTCTAAAAAAAAAGAATACGACGTACTAAAGTGTTTCCCTGAAAGGGAGTGGGATGGAGCAGATAGGTAAAGCATAGCTTAGAAGGTGGGGAGACCGTTTCGGCGTTCCCCTTGCATTTTTCAACCGACTCCAAAAGGGAGGAGGCTCTCATATCGCTTGTTTTGGTAGTTGCCTCGACCTCACAAAAGACCGTTCTGTGTCACACTTCTGCGTTTCTTCTGGCGAATGAGATAGCCGCGGTCTACTTTATTAAAAGGTGGCAACGCATCTGCAACCCTACGGGTGTTGCAAATGTCCATGGGCGGCGGTTATCACTTAACATCAGGTGAACAGCCAGCTCGTTTGCCACCTTCTCACATAAAAAACAGATACGCGAAGACTGTGGAGGAAGTAAACTTTTAAAGCACCGAGCCATCCATGCAGCCGCAATATAAATAATTATTTTATCACGCGAGCTATAAATTTTAGTAATGCATAAAATCACGTCTTAAAAATATGTGTTATGTGCAAAATCCATTTATGACTTGGGAGGCATAAGCGACTAATATTGGTAAACTAAAGTTGGCTCGCTTTTGTATGAGACTTTACTTAAGTACAACTTAATGTTGTACTCACTAGATTCTCGTAACGAAATTCTTATTTAAGTAAATAGGTAAAAAAAAAGCGTAACATAAAAACTTACACTCACATTTATAACATTTAGTAGGGATGTAATCAGATACTGCCCTCTACTATCAAATTAGAAGTTTCTCTATCGAGTACAAGTTTTTGCTTCAAGGTATAAACATAAAACTTTCTTAGTTTACGCAGGTTAGTGATTGCCTCCTATGCGGTAACTACAAAAACTGGTTCCCGTGTCCTCGAAGATAATAATATTCCGTGTTACCAGCCCGCAGGATCGGATTCGAAACTGGAATGGCGGTTCAAGGACCGGCAGAAGTGGTTGCTTTAATGAATTCCCGCCTTTTTATTTCTTTTTTCGTTGATCGTGGACATTGGGCCGAAATTCGAATTGGTTTTATAAACGGACTGTTAGCATCAGTCCGATCATGCCCTTACCATTGGATGCTAAATCTCGCTATTAAATTAATATAAATTTAAAGGATAACACTGACAACAATATCTACGACCTGTTAATGAATAATTATTTTGTGTCCGTCCTCTATTATGTACTATTATTTTTTATTATAATATAGTAATTATCTATTATTTATTTATTTATCTATGGTGCCCTAAAGTAATCAACCGATTGTGATAAAACTTTTTAGTTGTTATGCGGAAGCCCAAAAATAATATTGCTTCCCTCCTATCCTTTGCACAATTCTCTTTGCGTGACATTTTAACCTATGAAGGGTCATGATATAAGCTGAAAAAATTGACACATGCCAGTTCAGGGCGTTTGTTTTAATTCAATATACTCCAGTTACTCCTTACTCAACGGCACGCAAAAATATAATGCTTCTATTTCACGCCAGTCTCAAATAGAGATGTACATGGTGCAAACCCAACAGTGGGATACACCTACATGTAATTACTGACTTTATTGACGTATACAGAACAATGTATGTCTAAAATATAATACTGAATAACAACCTGTCTCCGTTGACATGCAATAAAATTTCAATACCGTTAAATCTAAAATAATTTATGTTAGAATAGAAACTATTAAATCTCTACAATATGCAAATTCGGTTTTACGATTTCGTGGAATAGACAAAACACAAAGACTCCATCTCAGCCTGACTTCACTTTAATAAGTCGCCTTTCTATTATTTTGTAAATATTCGATCGCCTACAAGTTTTTCATATCACACATTCGCGTTCAGTTTTTCACTCTTTGCAATGTTGGGAACGCATCTGCAACACGGATATTGCAGATGTCTATGGACGGAGGTAATCACTCAACATCAGGTAAACCGTTAACTCACTTGAATTGAAAAAAAATCGTCATCAATAACCGCTTTCTAAAAATTAATTTTTATCATTGGTACTTGTCCAATACTAAAAGATAAGCCGAGTATAAAATAGTTAAACTGGGTTTTAGGTTTTCAAAACAATGTGAAGTTGAATAAGTAGCTTGCAACAAAGAAGGTAAAAATTAGAAAAATATATGTCATCAAATACTTATGTATGTCAGTGTTTATGTCTATTTATTTACTGTTCTAAGTTTCTTAGCCGGTTCTGCACAAATGAGCCGGCTCTTCTAGAAGTATAGCCTGACCATGGCTGGCGATAATCACTTATCATGAGGTAAACAGCCAGATCGCTCGCCACGTTTCCTACAAAACTGAAACATGACAGGATATGACATTGTGTTAATTAAATAAGAAAATCTGATAATATCTTTTAAATAATTATAATCATCAGTCTTCGTTGTAATTACATTGATGTTAAATGTGAACCGTTACTCTCAATTGTGAATGATAGAAACTCCATTTTAAGATAATAAATCATTGAGATATCGACCTGCTCTCAATTCGTTTAGATACACTGTTTCACATATACGCGCGTTGCTGTACAAAACTTGTTTACAAAGTGGCAATGAAGCTAAAAGACTTCCAAAATGGTCGCTTAAAATGATAGAGTTAATTGAAGGCATTTTATGTGAACTGTGTCTCGTCGTCCGTTTGTGCCCGCAATATTTGAAAACAATAAAATCGTACTTTGAATACCAGAACTTAGTTATTATGGCAGCGAAATATCATTAGACGATGTACAGAGAAACTGTTTTGCGCAATGAAGTGAAAACCTTTCCCCGTATTCCATTCGCTGTGCGGGTACGAACGTGAGAGCGTCGCCGCGTGCGTCCGATAGTTTTAAACACAAATAGTGACAGAAGCATTTAGCGAGGCGCGGAGGCTCGATTCCGGGCGGCAGGCACCGTTAGGCCCCTCATATAAATGTGCAGCCTCCGCCGGCCCGGTTAGTCAGCCGCGACGCCCGCCATGAGATTATACGCTTTGCTATTCGCCCTTGCCGTGTGCCGCACGCGGGCCGCCACCATACCGAGCGAAGGCGTCGAGCCCCCGACAATCGCCCAACCCGTTGACGTCAAAGAACCCATCGAGCAGAGCAACGTTGAGAACAATGTCCGCAACGCCCCCGACACCATCCCCGTGGCGATCGTCGAGGAACCCGCGCAGCCGAAACTGGACGAGAACTCAAACGACTACATCCCCAGCGACGACGAACAAAGCGTCATCATCAAGCGGGTGGAGATCGATCTGAACAACCCCGGACCACCGCAGCGCCAACAGCACGAAACCCAAAATCCGGAGACTTACGCCGAAAGGGATTACTTCGTCGCCGACATCAAGCAGAAGCTTCTGGACACGGAGAATGTATTCAAAAAGAGCGTGTCCGACGTTAACGAAAGCTTTGAGAACTGGGTGCCGAACAGCGCGCACTTAACAGCTATTCAAAATGACATCAAAGAAATGCAAAACAAGTTTCTAGCGCAACTGTCGGAGCTGAATCAGTCTCTGCAATCTTACCTCAACCCACAAAGTACTAAATCAGTGGTCTCGGATCCAAAGTCCGTCGCCAACTTGAAGGAGGTTGAAACCCGATTAAAAGATTTAGAAGTCAACTTTAAGGCCGGTGTTCAGACATTATCCGAAGGCGTCAAAGTTTTGGAATCTGCGAAAGCTGATGGTGATGCTACTTCTACCGCCGAGAAACCTTCCGAAACCGGTTCACCCAGTCCAGCTCCTTCAAACCCCACCAATGAGCAACCCCCAAATCCGCTTGGTCAGGTATTTCAATACTTTTCAGACGCAATTGGCCAAGCAATAAACCAAATGCAAAACACTTTCAATTCATTTACCAATCAAAATAACCAACAAGGCACATCAGAATCACCTCCTGCTGGTGCTCAATCCGATGAGGGAGCATCTACTAGCAAACCACCTTCTTTCTGGGAGACTATCCAGCAGCAATTTAATCAAATGTTTAACTTCGGCCAAAGCAATCCATCGTCACAGACGAGCCAAACACCTTCAACGAACCCGTTACTGTCATTATTCAATTCAAATCCCATCTTTCAAAACTTCTTAAACCAGGGCAGGCCTTCAACCACCCCCAGTTCCCCAACCACGGCTGAAGTCAAACCATGGAGTGACGAGCCGCCTAAAGCAGTAGAGCCCCAAGTCGCTCCCGCAAAAGCAGAGGAGAAACCGCAGCAACTTCAGCCTCAAGCTTCAGATATTCCTGCTGCTCAGACTGGGCCCATCAGGGAAATAGTACAGAACAATCCCATTGTTAAGGGTATCGTGCAGAGAATACAGAGCATCTCGAGCCCAGAGAAGCCAAGGGAGAAGAAGCCAGAACAAGTCCCTGAATTGGTGAAGTCTGAGGATACGATCAAGAACAAGGAGCCTGTTTCGGCTACCAAGGGTCACGTTTTTTACGGGGGTCATGGAGGGTCCGGTGAGTCTTACTTTGGATATATTATTGTTGGTAAATTATAGCACACACAAATGATATATAATAACGCGAGGTTTGTGTTCAATCTCTATATTCAAAAACAATCTTAAAAGCATACTCCTTCGTAAAATTATAGGGCACAGTATGGTGTTCAGTTCATAGTTCCATTTCAAATGTTCGTAAGTTTTCTTATGTAAAACATAGGTAATTAATGTGATAAATTCAAAGAAAGTCATGTGATTCTTATTTTAATTTTTATACCTTAAGGGTTTATTTGGATATAAAGTATATATTTACTCATCTTAATTTCTTTTTCTACTTTATTTAAATCGTAAAAAACTTCTTACATAATAATATTGTCCTAACGACGGATGAAATAGCTTCTTACTCTTCATTCCCGGACATTAACTACACATCGCATGCTAGCTTTTTTATTTGAATAAAACACGGTATCTTGCACATGCATGCTATTAGTTTTTCCTTACATTATTTTATCCATAAAAGTTGATTTCCCAAGAGCGTTTAATGATAAACAATAAAAGCTAATTCTTCGGACCATTTTAAGTTTGTTGTCTAAGCTTCGATAGGAAGGCTCGTTGAAAGGTACTCGGCCCTCGGGTTACGGATAAATGCTTATAAGCTTGAAGCTAATATTATTTCAAGATGATATATTAACGGAGACGCAGAGCGCCGGACATTGAGCCGTAGTACTTTACTACCTAAACATAATCGGAATATAGACATATATTCCGAATCAGTTAAGCTCCTCAATCTTTTAAAACATTGCTCCTACAGTAGATGAAAATAATCCGGCGTTGTAAAAGCGTTTACATAACAATAAACAAGGAAACTAATATAGGTTTGAAACAATTATCTGTTGGTCACACAACTGTTTGTATGTGGGAATAAAACCCACGAAACGCACCGCCGAAGTCACCTCAGCTAATTTTCTATACGGAACGGAATTTATGCGAAATCAACTTTTAACTCTATGATCTAAGCACTTTCTACCTAATCATACGCCTTTACCTACTTCAATCTGTTTCCAGCCTCAATGACAGTTTCATTAATGCATGCCAATTGACCTCCCTAGTCGCAGCGTGGAGTGCTTTCGTCACAAATCTGATAGGTACTATAGGTGCTGTCATCAACGGCACCACAGCAACAGTTTCCACGGCCGTCAACAGTGCAATAAACACTATTGGCACAAATGTACAGGTAAAGTGGTCCGCCTCGTGACAATTGCTACGTTGTGATTGACAATTTGTGGTGGTACGAGTATGTTGTCAATAATCATAATTCTCGGAGGCAACGCAGTCGATTTGTCGAGTTAAAATTTCGACAAGAAAACGGGTTGTTTTTCATTTGTGTGTTATGTCAAGCTAATAATCTATTATTCATAATAATGTTAACTAACCTCAACTTCAATAACTTCTTGATATAGTATACATATAGTAAGTTACTCACTATAGTATTACGGAGAATATTTCTGTATGTTAGCCAGACTTTAGGAGAATATCGTAAATAAATGCCTTGATATTTCATAAATCCAACTTATCAAAGAGACGGCTTAAAAGCGGCCGTGAGAATAAAATCAAAAATTTAAAGGGAAAACGACATTTTTCGAAATCCATAGCAATACGCTCTTTATTCATTTAACTTAGTATAAATAATTCTATTTGTCATTTTCGTTGATACTTTTAGAAAACTGATATATTCACCTCAAAATTCTAAGTTGCCATATTCTGTATAGAAACTACGTAAACCGAGTTACGTATATGTATGTACGAGCATTAACTAAAATTTATATTTAAATACTAGCTGACCCGGCAAACGTATAAATTATTTCTAAGGAATTTGTAGGGTAGAAAAAAGTATTTGGGGTGGACCACCCTTAACATTTAGGGGGATGAAAAATAGATTTTGTCCGATCCTCCACTCAAAATTTCAAGAATATCGGTGTAGCCGTTTCGGAGGAGTTTTCGTATTACAAACACCGTGACACGAGAATTTTATATATTAGATTTCTTTAACAAAAACAAAACTGAATTCCAAAATCTTACTTACTATTCATATTCCATTTGATTTTGAAGAGTTACCTGATTTATCTCCCGAGCTCAGGTTAAAATACCAATATAAATGGTATGCGCGACCACAAGGGAGGCTAAACCAAATCCAATGCAAAAAGAATTTTCAAAACCAGGTTGGTTTTATACGATTACATTTCATAACATAAACGATTCAGTTCAGAGATAAAAACAAAAAATAATAGAACCTAATTAATAACCTCCCCTGGTTTAAAGTCGGTTGAAAATGAGAGTATTATTAGCTAAAGGATCGAGGATCAGTAACATCGACGGCCGACAACTGTACTATTCGTGTGGAATAAAATTGTTAAAAGTTAACATAAGTCCTTCAATCTGCTAAGAATCATTCGCTATCATAGTTTTCCTTTACAATAGACGGTACTAATGGTGGATTTAATTAGTTAGTAGGTTTACATAGTTTTTGAATGCCAATGAATATGGCTTCTTAACAGGCTGAAACGAACAGCTAGAGAGTGCATTGAAAATAACTACTAACCAGTCTACTAATAGACCAGTCGGTCTCAGTGTTCAAAGAACTTTAACGATGTTCGATTTTGATCTGGAGCAAAAGAGGAATTCTTTGATCGTGTCTATCACTTCCGGTTTCACTAACTTAGTGAGAGTCACCACCCAGTGGTAAAGAAACCCTACAGTCTTGTATAACCCAGTGGTCATGTACTCATTATCTCTGCGTTCCAAGGCGGTTAACTTTAACAGCCACCAATAACTTAATACTGCAGTCGACAGTTGTTGGGGTGACCCTACTTACCCCACAACCCGAGCACATAACCAGTGCATGAATATCCAAACTCATGCGAGTAAAAATGAAGAATCACATGCGAATAGAAGCACAATCAGCTTTGGGCTCGGTATTCGGCAACTAAGTTTTATGTCATATCGACGAATATCCGTAAGGTTAATATATTCAACCATTCAACCAAAACTAAACCATTTTTGTACTAACATATGAAATAACTACAAAAAAAGCGTTTCGCTATTAGGTTATATGTTGTTTTTATTATTAATAACAATTTACTTCGTAACTAAACTACTTTGTGAATACTACTTATAACAGTAACTGTTATTACGTTAAAAAACTATATATAACACATAAAAAATATGATTTAAAAAATCTGTTTCAGGGGGTGATAACGGCATCGACGGGATAGTTGTCAAAAGCTTAGCTAACGAGGAGAAGATTGAAGAATTTCCGCCAAAACTCGAGCAAAAGAAGGACGCAGAGTTAGCAAAGGAGGAAGAAGAAGAAAAGGAAACCGTGCTGCTGCCCGATAAGACTGAATAGGTCAATAGTGTGATAGTTAAACTAGTTATTTATTTTAATTTTATAACTGAAGTTAAATGTAAATAATAAAGAAATCGAAACAATCCATAGAATGTATTGTACCGTATAATTATTACACCTTTGCTTCTAGTTCTACGGAAAACCGTAAGCAGGAGAAAAGCCTGTTGGCAAAAGCACAAGTACGAGACAGAGCATTTGAAATATCCGAAAAACAGAAGTCATTCACACACTTCATTGGGATTCAAACAAAACTAAGTAGTACATTGGATCCGATTGACAATGATTGTTTTAGTTTCATTATATACTTTTACACGGTCATTATATTCTTTCTTGAGTCTTTATAATGTTTAAATCATATACCGTAAATTCCATTCCGTTGGTAAAATAATTCTGAACGTAGATAAAAAAAACGACACCTATAAAATATTTTTGAATCTTTGAAATAGCGTTAACCTACAATAAACATAAAATATCTGTCATAATTCTTAAACCCTCTTCCTGTTTCTCTATGGTAATATACTACCATCAGGTACATAATCCTCTGCAGGTTGTCCTCGTTGACAACTCTTAAAGTGACCACATTTCCTGACATTGGAATTGGACATTGGACAATTTTTCAATGGAGTGAAGTGTACCTCTCTATTCGGTAAATATAGTATATATTTGGTATAGAAAACCAAATTAAAGTTTGATAGAAACACACCCTTAGTATATTTTAGACCATAAACATAAAACCGTGACCTTGGCGTTCAAGGTGGTGGGTTAAAGGAAATTGCATCTCGTGTTGGAATTTTGTTTAATGTGAAAAGTGGCAAACCAGCTGGTGGTTCACCTGATGTTAAACAATAACCGCCGCCCACAGACATTTGCAACACCCGTAGTTTAAATAAAGTGAGCCCCGAGTCATCAGACGAAACTCAGAAGTGTAACACTTCTACTTTACGCCGGTCTTCTGTGAGGTCGTGGTAATTACCCGGACAGACCTGCCCATACGTGCAACAGTGAAAACTGTTGCGTGGCCCAACCACAGTTAAATAACTTCATTAGAGCGTTTCTTAACTTGATAACCGTTAAATTACGTTTGAACTAGTTTTGAGAGATAGATTTTACACAAGGATGTGTCTTTAAATATGCGGTGTGGAATTAATCTCTTTTAGCTCGTATTGTGCTAACGTTGTAATCATGTTGACGTAGAAAACTAGTAAGTAAAAAAAAAGTTAATAATATTAAATACAATAATGAAAAAAAAAATATAATAAATATAATAATGAAAATAAATATTATGTTGTTATATTAGTATTTCAAATATTGTCAATCAAGAAAATAAACTGTGAAGTTCAAATTTGGAAAAAATAGAATTCTTTACCAAGCCCGGAAAGTTTTTTCATGCTATAATCGAAGAGATACCATCTGTTCAGCCATAATGAAAGAGATCTATTAAGAGCGAAACGTGAATTTGGAAGCCGGACTGCAGTTTGTTATAATTACAAAACGTATTAGAAGATTTTGTTGAAACATATAACGAAAACCCTTGTTTATGGGATCGAATATATCGAATCTTTATAGTAACAAGCTATTAAGAAATGCAGCATTGCAAAAATTATTGAAAATATTTAACGATAAATACAATAATTGCTTTACATTTCCCAGTAACTATTGCAACCAGCCATTAAATCACTATTAAGCATTCATAATCTCTGCCTGTAACTAAAAACTGAAAGGTGGCTGTCAGACGTTGTTCAGCATAAATACTATCACGCATCAAAGTGTCTTGCTTGTCTTTTATTAGCGTTACTTAACTGAGCAAATACTGAAAGGTCTCTTCATTCATTCTCATATAAATTTGATAGTCGTCTGAATCAATATCTTTTACTTTGATTAGATACTTGTCTACATAACACATTAGCCGTACCGGGACCTATTATGTCCTACGCATGCATGATCTTCGCCCACACGCACCCTACTCGCTTGTACAAGCTGCAAATAGTACAAAATAAGTTCATCCGCCGTGCAACCGGTGCACAGTGGTATCAACGCAACGTCGATCTGCACAGCGATCACACAGAGAGCACAGACTCCGACGATTTGCGAATATTTTAAAGACCTGACCAAACGGTTCTTCGATGGAGCCGAACATCATCCCAACCCTCTGGTGGGAAGCGCAGCAAATTACCAACCCGACACAAACGCGAATGTCAACAAGCGTCGCCCGCGAAACGTCCTCATCGACCCGGTCGAGGAAGGGGACTTAGATACGCCTGACCCACCGCCGGGGGTCCCGCCGAATAACACTACACCCACAGCTAGTGTAACAACAAACACAATAGTACGCCCTCGCCTCCGAGCACGGCGAGACCAACACAACGCGAACACAAGGTACACCCGCGTTCCAGGGCGGTTCTCACCGCCCCTAGCCACCGATTAGCTAAAAACACAGTCGACGGCCATCGGGGTCTCGGTCCGCACCGCAACTTCGTTGGCCCATAGATGACATGTCGTAGTTAAACGCACGCATGAGCACATGCGCGGCCCTCCCCACAGCGGAGGGCCCAAACCAGAGGGTTCTGGCTAGCCCACCGGTTCTGCGTCAGATGAAGCTTTAATAGTCTCGGGACTGAAAGCAAAAACATCAGTTAATACAAGATACACAAGCCGTACCGAACGGCCAAAAATTGAGGTTTCACTTACCGTAGTGTCATTTGAAACACTTACGGATAACGTGCTCGAGAAAAATAATAAATTTTGCCGGTTAGTTGTATCAAATCGTGTCACAATTATGTGGGGAAAATCGTATAATAGTACCAAGATCACTTTTCATCGGTCTCTTCTATTATTTAATCAGTATTAATTAAAAAAAACACGATTTTTTAAATTTATTGTTTCTGTTTGGGAAGATTTGGGGAAACTATGACAGACAAACACAAATATCATTACATCATCTTTCCACATTAGAACATTATTATTTTTAAAATTACATTATTTATTTGATCAGTAAATCATAATTTACCTATACAAAATAAATGAAATCCATGACGTCATTTCTTTCTTTTACTTTAGGTTTAGATTTCCTACGGATTCCGTACTTGCAAATCGCTGGAGAGCTATTATACAACAGATATTGATGTATAAACTACTGTATTTTTTCATTGTAAATTTGTTGTTTCTAAAATAAACAAAACTAATAATGTACAAAATAAATATTACAATTTTGTAGATTATATTCTATACTGGTCAACCCTCTTACTACCTTAACACTTTGTTTAACCTCACTTTATTAAATAATGGGGAAAACTTAACATATCACGCAATCGGAGACAGTTTATGCGCTTCGATTGTTAAGAATTGCTCCATCTAGAAAAGTATATACCTAATAAAAAGTCTTTTAATTTTACTTCATTTCCTCTGGCGAATTTTAATAGTTTCTTTTCTCACACACTTTTTTTATTTTCATCTAATAACTAAAAAAAACGAGGCAGAATTGCTATTTTCTTTATTGTTTCGAAATTAACGTATTAATTTTCATTTACTTTATCTTTCAAGTTACTCTTTCTCTCAGTGAGTGAGTTGGTGACAAAGTCACACTATTTCACAGCCTCAAGGAGCAGTGCCGGATTAACCACATAGAAGAGTAACAATTGCTACGAACCCCACGCCAAGCGGGGTCCCCCCGCATATTTGGACCCACTCATCTCTGCCTGAGCTTTAATTATTTGAGTGAGACCTATTAAATATGAAAGAGTATTGAATTAATTCATTCCCTTGTCTAAGTCATTTGAGATACTTCATGTATGAGTTACACAACACTATTTGGCATTTGGCTTTGCTTTGACAATTTTGACATTGACGGGACAACTTGACATGAACGTGTTTACATTTTTATAATAGTAATTTTTCAGAATACATCAAAATAAAGCTATTTTTATTTATGCATTCAATTAAGTCCATTTTCTACTTATCAATATGAATGGATTAACCTTAAGAATAAGTGGAAGCAACTCAAAAAAAATTAAGGGCTCTTTGTCATTTAATCCAGTCATTATATCTGATAATTTAATAGCAAAAACAGGTTAGAAACAGACAGTAACCATCAAAATAATTTCTCAATATCCATGGTTGTTAATGTCTAATTGGAGCTTATTATATCCATAATATAATAATAATTGTAATGGCAAGTGGTTAGCCTATCACCTATAAAATTTCTAGACCAGCAGTTTCTGTTATTGTATTAATGAGCATGCTTGTCTGGGGAATACTGCAGCCTCACATGTGACCCGGGTTATTTTGAATTTCATTTGTTACGTGAGATAAATACAGCCCACTTACCTAATGGTTGACAAAGTACAACAAGTACAATTAGTAACACCCACAGAGCAGCAGTAATCACTTACCAACAAAAATCGAAGATTTGCAAGAATATATGTAAAGACCATAAAACCTAACCTTTTATAAAATTTTTGGTTTAAAACTTATTTTATAAGTGTAACTAGAATTCATAATTAAATATCAGGTAAATAACATACAAATCTAGTAAATGGGTAGTAAAAATGACTTGCAGTAGCCTAACAACTACTGTGACTCTCAATTCAACATACATTAAATCCACCAATGGATTGAATATATTGATATATAGCACAAAAAAAAATGTAATAACAGGTACAAATTAATTTTAGATGCTGAGAATTTACTACATAAAAACTTTCATGCAATTAATAATGTTGATGAACAACTTACAATCTTAAAAGAATATTTGAATGAATGTGATGAACTCCCTCAAAGTCTCCTTGTTAAAGCATTCTTAAATGCAGAGGTCAAACATCCTGTTAAATGCTTCATAGCGAGGTAAGATTATGCTGCCAGTAATAATATCATAGCAAAGAAATTATTTTAAACAAGCTTTTCGCCCACGGATTTGCTCGCATTGAAGCCCATAAATAAATATCTTTCAGCCCTTTAATGAACTTTTTCCAATTAAAAAATATAGCCTATGTCCTTTATCAGGCTCTAGACTATCTGTGTACCGAATTTCATTTAAATTGGTTCAGTAGTTTTGGAGTGAGAATGAAATAATAGTGGCTTAGAGCCAAGTTAAATTAAAATAAGACTCTTAACATATAATATAACTTATATAATGTTATTAATATCTTTTTTAAGCCTAAAGTATTGTATATTTATTTAATTTAATTTTTTTATTTTAACAGATATATAACAAAAAATAGCCACCTACAAGAGCCGTTTGCAAAAGTTCTATCAAAAGAAATATTATCACATGTCTTGGGTAATAATAATGATGACAAAGGTTATTTGGACTTTGTGCCTAAAATAGCAAGTTGTATTGAGAACTTTCCAGCAGGCGCCATGGCTGTTAAAGAAATAGACCTAAAGCTTTCGGAGTATTTGACAAAATGTTTGCAAAATTGTATTGACACATTAAGGTATGTTGTAGATATTGTACTAAAAATTTGCAAACACCCATACAAAATAAAATTAATTTAATGAGAGTGCCAAAATCTATAACGACTTACTTTAAAATTGACATGTTTCAAGTCTAATGTGTCAATTACTTTAAAACATAGTATTTGTTTTCATTTAACCATAGTACACCATTTAACAGATTATCCTATTTAATTTCTAGAAGCTTGAAATCATTATCGCCAACAGGGAAAAATGAGATATATGATTTGGCCCATTTAAGCTTACGACTTTTACTGCATATTGTTCAAAAAGTACATTGTGAAAATGTTGCCAGTATGATGCCTTTGTTTAATACAATTAAGCACAATGTTAAGGCGCTATTGTTTGAAGAGGATGTACCTATGGACACAAAATCAGTATCTGGGATCCTTTTGGTATCAATGCACATCATAGAAAACGGTTCCAATTCTTGGATTGAGGTTAGATTTAAAAACAACACTATTTTTGAGAGTATTACATTCTACAAGAAAATATAAATAGTACTTTATCAATAGATTTCAAAAATGGAGGAGGTTCTCAATTCGACTGGTTTTTTTTGTTTGTTGCCTCAGAACTTTCCACCTCAGACTGAGAGAACAAATTTTGATGATTCTTTTTTTATTTGAAAGGTGATGCTTCCCTTGTGGTGTGTGTGTAATTGCGTTGGTGTTGGATCTCGGACTCAAGAGATACTTAGGGAAGTCCTGAAAATCAATTATAAAATGACTACAGAGGGAGATATTTGAAGTCAGTTTTGTTTGTCGTTATTTATAATTTAAATGAAGTAACATTTTTATTTTAAATAAAGTAGAATTTGATCGACTCCGAGGCGCCGTTCCCAAGTCGGGGATCGTGGGGTCGATGTCGGACAGGAGATAAAAAATAAAGCTAAAACCGCTTACAACATGATTTACATTATTTCACAACATACATTATATATAATTTATTACATGTTCCTTTTTTATTTAATTAAATTCCCACCAAGGTACGTTCAGAGCGTCTTGATGGCATATTCTTTATAATTCCAATGAAGTTGATTTTTGCAGATACTAAAGTCTAATAAAGAAAATCGGGGTTTCGGTGATTTAATAGAAAATGACTCTGCCAAACTAAGCCTCTACTCTGCTTTAGTCACCGTTGTGGCGGCAGAGGAACTATTTTCAGAAAATGTGAACAATGATTCTGCACTTATCGTGTTGACTAATAATATAATTGATATAGGGGAAAGGTAAGAAAATATTTCTTTTAGAAGTTTGAGAAAATTTTCGGTATATACAGCGTGTCGTTACCATCGCGACAATAAATGAACACACATACAGGGGACCCTGTATAATATTTAATTTTTGTTTTAGTGCTAGTCTTTGCACTTGTGATGAAACTTAATAGGTACAGATAAATTGTCCAAAAGTTTTCTACCTATGCCAGAATTCTAACCCGCGCTTAACACGCTCAGACGCTCTAATCACTTCTTTTGTTTCATCTGCCTCTTGATCAACACACACAATGTTGATTTGTGTCATAGAACATAATTATTTTTCTGTTTGAGTTTTTGCCCTTTTATTTACTGATCAGGTAATTCATAAATTTCACATGTGCTAAAAAGTTACACTATATTGAGGAAGTGCAAATTCTGCCGTTTAATCTTACGAAATATATACAAAGAAAGTTGAATTCATATGTATTAAAATTCTTTTTGTAAGATTAGCAAACAAATCACCTGATGGCAAGTGATAACTGCTACATACATACTGTCAGTACCAAATGTTGGTGCTGAGTGAGACCACCGGTTGCATTGACTTGATGAAATGCATATATAAGTGTATACTTGATGAATTATATATATAAGTGATTATTACCTACATAACAAAATTTGACAAGATTTTAAACACTGATTAAAAACCGAGAGATGGCGCTGTCATGAAAGATTCATATTACCAATCATATGATCAAACGTGACCGTTTCAGTACCATCACCAGCTCGACCTTCACTCTAGGCGTGACTCGCACTCTGGTCCAGACCAGCAGGGCGCTTCCGAAGGCTCCCGATAGCATTTTGGGCGGGAAGCTGGTCGACCGCCTCCTGACCTTCGTGTGGTCCCATTTGGAGCACCATATGGACAGCGTTCGCCATCTGACAGCTCAGATCTTGGCGAATATAGTGAAGTACTGCACAGCGCTGAAGAAGGGAGGTGCGTTAGACAATTTTACTTTTTTTTTGTTTGTTTACTTTGTCTCTATTTTTTGTGGCTCGTTTGGTTTATCGGCTTTTCGTTGGGTTCACGCCGGGTATTATAAAAGTCAACATTTGTTTATTCAATATGGGCTTGTTTAAGGTCTTATTGAACGTCAAAACACTACCGACGGTTCACTAAATTAGACTTGTCCAGAGAAAACTCTGCGATCGTGTTATCTTTTGTTTTTTTTTTTTGTGTAATAAATTATAAAAGTATAAAATCAGCAGCAGGGGACTTGCAAGTGCAGAGCAAGAGTTATTTCCACACATCCTACCAATTCTTTGACAGTATAGTAGACCCTTTAGTTTAGTTTAGTTTTTTATGGATGTTACTTATTTTATCGTATAAGTTAGCACACACAAAAACGGCTTTCTGTTCTTATTGTTTGCATTGGATCGCGCATTAATTTTGCTTTCGCGTTCCAGGTGACGACAAAGCCCTGGACGGTCTGTTCACGGCCCTGAGCCGCCTGGACCAGTGCCGTAAGAGTTACTACGTGAGTCTGACGTCACTCACGCTGGAGCTGGGCGCTCGCTGCATCCTCCAGCGGTTCCCTGACGTCGTCCGTGACGTCATCGCGGCGCTAGACATACAGGCAGTGCAAGCAAGCGTGAGTGCCATCGTGTGGGATTTCGATATGTGTTTTATGGGAAATCTTCGAAGCAGCCCGCCTGCCGGAGCTATGGGGATCCCATCCTAACATATCTCCTGTCTCTTATCTTGAAATTACTCGTTAGTAGAAACTATCTCTTATGGAATTTAATATGCCTACCTCTGTTCCTAGGACCGCTCCCCGGTAGTATTTTACTGTGGATTAGTGAATGATTAACAACTATCCCGGGTAGCAGGGAAAGATGTAGCTTAGTGAACGCGCTGGCTAAGTAGAGGCCATCTGTCTCTTTCATTCGCACGGTCAAGTAGTAGGAAGGATAGAGACGTATGCAATTCCAATCCATCGCTGTAGGCCATGCGAAATAAAGAGGCATGACTTTTCGATTGGTATTGTATCCCAGAGTACACGAGTTCCTAGTCTACATGGCCGTTCTTTTAGATCTAGAACACACCAATGTTGTCGTTAACATGAAAGCGACATTTAAACTTTGTATGTATGTATTTATATTGTATGTAGGTATGTATTTGTACATAGTATTTAAAATTTGTATATATGTATTCGTATTTATTATTTTAAATATACATTTACAAGTAGATATATATATAATAATATACATAACACATTACTATGGCTTCGTGTTTTCAAGGGTTTGCTGGAAAAGAACTCATTTAGGATTAAGCTCGCCTCTGTACGTGTTTTTGTCATTTGTTCCAATTGTCTGTATTATAATTGTGTGTACATTAAAGTAAAAAATAACAAACAAACAAACAAACTTTAAGTTATTCCATACTGCTTCAGGCCACAACAACTCTGGAGACCCTGCTGCAGAAGCACTCGAAGGAGTCCACGAGCGAGATCACCTACGACGTCTGGGTGAAACCGATCCTGGAGCGTGTCACCACGCAGACCCTGGACTCGGCGGTGCTGAACATCCTGGAAGGTCTATTACTTCGCGCTGTAAAGTTGGACGAGGATCTCATGAGTTTTCTGTGCGTATTTATAATATTGTTTTTACTGTGTTTACTGCGGCTAACGGCGGGTATCAATATTCTATCTACAGATAGATTTGGTTACCAATTGTTCTGGTTACTGTTACTGCGTGCATCGCCAGAACTTAATGCCAATGTGGGATGGATGAGCTTATGTCAATTGTATGGCGGTAAAGAATGTTAAAATAAACCGACCGATGTTGCTGAATGCTTTTACAGCACTGAAAAACATTAAAATTGTAATTACGAACCAAAATATAAATTATTTATTATTATTACTATTACTATTACAATAAACTATAAATAAATAAATATAGACAGGTGAAATTATGTGTGCATGTTGTATTTACCTTAAAATAGTTGTATACTTAATTATAATAACTCTAATGTTAGTATAAATTGTATGAGCGTAACAACTGCTGGTAAACCTCAATAAATAAATAAATAAGAAATAGAAATCCCCATTACTACTGATTGTGCTCCCACCCCCAGTTTGCCGTACATCAAGGAGTTGCCAAGCGCCGATCTGAAATGCGTCCTGATGCTGCTGAGCGTCGCTCGGAAGTCCGAATCGGGGGCCAGGGCGGGGCGGAGTGAGGACCAGTGGAGGGGGCTGGTGCCGTACGAGGTCCTGGAGATGGCAGCGTCTGATGCGGCCGATGAGGTAACGAGCTAAGAATGGGATCAGTTGGGATAGGGGTGAAAGTGGGCAAGACAGTTCCTCCAATCCAATCCAGGAGGATTGGTCCTGCCTTACAGGCCGCGCTGGTGTCCTGCCTCATAGGACACCTGCGTTTCTTAAAGTTGGCACCACTGTGATCAGACGGATATGGTATCCAAGGGTGGTAGTAATCACTCAGCAACAGGTGAATCGCCTGCTCGTTGGCTACCTTCTTACATAAAAGAAAGTATTTTTTACGTGGGCGGGCGGTTCACCTGATGTTAAGTGATAACCACTGGCCATGGACATTTGCAACACTCGTAGGGTTGCAGGTGCTTTGTGACCTTTTAATAAAGTGGGCTCCTGCTACCTCGGATCTGCCCAAACGTGCAACTGTTGCATGGTCCTGCCACAGTCTCTGTCGATGTGGACCTATGCCCTAGCACAGTTACTAGGAGCTGCTGGGAGCCACTGGCCCCTTTATTTAAGAACAAACCTGGTCATTTGGCCCGTCTGTTATGGACCTACTAGCTACGTCCCGCGACTACATCTGCGTAGAATAGGCTGAAGGCGTAACATTCAGACAGAAAGACAGATATACATAGAATATGTATATGAATTATAGCCTATATGTTATTCTGATGTTTTTTTTATATGTGAAAAATTGTCAAGCGAGCAGACGGTTCACCTGATGTTAAGTGAATACCGCCGCCCATGGACATCTGCTACACCCGAGGGTTGCAGATGCGTTGACAACCTTTTGAAAATTGGACTCCGGCCACCTCACTCACCAGACGAAACGCGAATGTATTATACTTCCACTTCACGCCGGTCTTCTGTGAGGTCGTGGTACTTACCCGGACGAGCCTGCCCATTCGTACAACAGCCGAGGCTGCTGCGTGGCCCTGCTACCGTTAAATGTATAAGCGTAATATGTAAATGTGTAATGTAATGTAATAAGCTATATTATTGTAAAGTTGCGTTAAAATCCATTGAGTAGTATTTGCGTGAAAGAGTAACAAACATCCATCCATACATACAAACCGTATAATATTAGTAAGGATTGGATTGTCGAAGGTCCGCAGCCTGTCGCTCTCCCTGGTGGTGGAATCGCGCCGCACCACCGAGGCGTTCTCCCCACGAGAACTGGGGCTGGTGCGTCGCCACCTGGCCCTCAGCGCCAACGCGCAGCAGCCAGACGCCCGGCAGCAGACCCTCGCTCTCATCAAGAAGGTACCACCATCGACGAGAACATTCAATGAAACTAGTTCTAATTTCGATTTTTGATTCCCGACCTTTCGAACCCCAGCGCTCATGTTCAAGGGATAGATAAAATCGGTGAGCTAGTTTCATTTAATATGTTTAATATTCTTTTAAAGTTTTTTATAGTGCTAATCTCTGCACTTAATATTGAACATTAAAACATGTAGAAAACAATGTAGAAGGAAGGCGTTAAGATTTTCGTCGCTGTGGCTATCAGCCGTTTAGCTCAGTGGCTAGAGCGTCAGGCCGCGAATGCCGAAGACGTGGGTTCGATTCCCACAGCGGGGACAATCTTTTCGTACTTTTTCTGCATGTTTTAATGTTTAATATTCGCTTAAAATCACGAAATCAATACACGAACGAAAATGTCAAGCACCACCCGCAGCTACAGTAAAGTTTTGAAAATTCTAGGTTTTTACAGATAAACGAACTAAAACTTTCGGCGCAGAATTCGAACCTGCGTCTAGTGATTTCTCACCCCGACGCTTTACCAACTAAGCTGGGCGGCTGATGACGTCACGGCGCGAAAATCTTGACATGTATCCACGTCCGTTCTATTGAATTTTTAGCAATGCTTGGCGCCATCTAGTGTCCATCCTTTAAGTAAAAAGTAGTAGTAACACTACAAATTACATTCAACTAAGAATGTTTGTAACGAGAGACGCCGCCATTACGCTTAAAATTTTAGGATTAACTTTTAAAAAGATAAAACTTTACTTTTATAGAATAACTTCTTACGTCCGTACAAAAGTTACGTTACTTTTATTACGCTAAAGAAGTGTAACTGTTATACTTAAAAGTTATAACTTCTTAGCGTAATAAAAGAAAAACAACTAAAATTTTTGTCCCCTGTTAACTCGTACTCTTTGTTTGTGAAAAAGACATTAAATGCAATTGTTAACGGCTTAGATAGCTTGGTAAAAGGTAAATGTCAAAAAGTTTTAGTGGTTGCTATGGTAACGCTGTGAAATCAGTGTCGATTTTAGGTGTCGCGCATAGTAAACAATCAAGAACAAAGAAGTATAACTTCAAAAATTAGATTGCAAAGTTAGTTTTTTCAGGGTTCCGTATCCAAAGGGTAAAACGGGACCTTATTATTAAGACTCTGCTGTCTGTCCGTTTGTCCGTCTGTCACCAGGGTGTATCTCAATAATCGTGATAGCTGGACAGTTGAAATTTTCACATATGATGTATTTCTGTTGCCGCTATAAAAACAAATACTAAAAAAACAGAATACATAAATATTTAAGTGCGGTTCCCGTACAAAACACATAATTATTTTGCCGTTTTTATAGACAATTGTACAGAACCCTTCGTGTACGAGTCCGACTCGCACTTGGCCGGTTGTTTTGAAGTCGCCACGTCCGAATTCCAGTTCGTGAGGCGTTTGGAAGACAGCTACAAGGTGCTGCGCAGACAGAAGCTGGAGAGCGGGTATTACCTGGCCTTCGTGGACGACCTTCGCGGGATGTGCTACGGGTTCCTGATTCCCGGAGTCAACTACGGCCGGCGCCACGTGTCCCTGCAAGTGCTCGTTTGGTGCGAAAACGCCACTTTCGAGGGATACCGACGGTATGTGTTATCTTATCCTTTAAATGAGCAATTCTTGTATATATATATATATAGTCGGAATCTCGGAAACGGCTCCAGCGATTTTCATGAATTTTAGTATATGCGTAGATTCGGGGGCGAAAAATCGATCTAGCTAGGTTTCATTTTCAGAAAATGTCCTTTTATCCCTGTTTTCCGGGTATGAAAAATATTATTCGAATACGACGGTAAATTTCACCGAAAAAAAATGTTATAATAGCTCGGTCGGTAATCGGGCGGCCGCTAACAAACGGCCACGAAACAGAAGGCCGTGGTTCGTATCACGATCATTTACACATTTATTTCCATTCCAGATCATTGCTTTCTTTATTTTTAATTTTTGTCGATTTGTTATTTTGTTATTTTTTTTTCCCTTTTTTTTTAAAGTTCTTTCTTTTGTGAAAAACACCAGTTCATATTTTCTTATTATTATGTCGGTAAGATGTCGGAAGATTACGAAACATATTATGCATATTTCATTACTTAGTAATTTGTATCTAAATGAAATTTCCAAAATACACGATTTACCAAAGGTCCAACAAACCAAGTACTTCAAATTTAAATAAGAACGACGACAATCGATGACCCGATTGGCGTAGTGGATGGTGCCAGGTGCACCCTCTTGCGCCAAAGGGTGTGGGTTCGATCCCCACTAATGGTGATAAACATAGTGTAAATATTGTGTGATGAACATAGTGTTTCTGTTGTTAATGTTTAGGTATGTTTATCAATTATCTAGTACCCTAGTACAATCGTTGCTTAGTTTGGGACTAGAGGGCGTAAAAATGTGTCCTAAAATATTTTTTTATTTATGATATCTGCATCTTCTCCGTAAAAACATTAACCATGCGAAAGCTCAGACTCCGTGCGCGAAATTCCTGAAAAGGGAACCGAAGTTTTTGATTCACGTATTAATATATATTAAATACATAGGAGATTTATTTTCGACCGCAGATCCAAAATTACAACAGTTAAAATTAAAACTGCACATTTATTTTTTAAATTTTGACTTGTTCACAGTCGATAAGTGAACATTTTATGTGTCATATGCACATTTTAAAGGTGTTATTTATATGTATTATTTAAATTATTTTCGTTGTATAAATTTAATTTTATCTTTCTTTTTTTATATGTATAGAACACTGCTCTTACAAAATAATCATTATTTACAAAAAAAAAGTATTGATTTTCATCTTTAAGCAATATTTTTTAGCAAATACATAATTAATTAATTACGTTTTACTTTTCCAACCCTCAAATTCAAAAACAAGCAAGATCACGTGTAATTTTAAACCAACTCTTCTTTTGCCCAGCCCCTCTACTTCTATGTTTATCTCTTACTCCCGTCGTTTTTCCTTCATTCTCCCATTCTCTTCCAGGACTTGGAAACCGGAGTACGTTTTGCGGCTGATGATGCATCTCGAAGACAGCTACGAGTCCAACAAGTCCTTCGCGTTGGAGATCCTGAACTTGTGCCCAGTCGAACTGATCGAGGTATTGCAACTAATTTACTGGGCAGATAATTTTTCATTCCCCGTATTGTTTTTTACTTAATCGATCGATTATTTAATATGAGATTTAATCTGTATTTATTGTTTAATTAGTAATAATAAGTTATATTTCCACACTCCAATATGATTAATATATAGCGGTACAAATAGTAAATAACATGTACTATGCCTTGTCGTGTATCTATGTTTCGCAATTTAAATTTAAATTATTATTATTTTTTCGAATACTGTGTATTGTTCTGGTTCGATGGGGTTTATAAATAAAATATTCGTATAATGCAATATAATAAATACGCTATTACTAAAATTTGTAGAAAAATGTACGCCAAAGATTTTCAAATTAAAATTGCGAAAGAGCAAGTAGATTTTTCTTTAGGGTTTTTTGAGATTTGTGGCAATCAACTTAGTTGTTAAAGCGTCTGGGCGCGATTCCGGAAGATGCGGGTTCGATTCCCGATAAAAACTCAACGCGAAATCTAAATGCGTTATTATTATAAACTGACAGAGCCAAAAGTGCAGCGTTGGCCTTGAACTTGGTGAGATTTTCCGTTTGGCCTCTTCGCTCAAGCCGACCGACTGCGTTTCGGCCGCTTACAAGATGAAGCTGATGAGGAACAGGCTCCCCGAAGATATCCTCCAAGGGAGGAGCATGTGAGTGATACTTTCATACTAACAACTGCGATGCAGTACACAAATTTCTTACACGAAAACATTCTAATAGACAGACGAATACAATCAGTTGACGTCAAGTTAACCTTTTTGTCAGTCTCATTATAATCGAAATACAACAGTTATTAACTGTGGTAGGGGTCTTCGGCGGTTGCACGAATGGGTAGGTCCGTTCTCGGGTAAGTACCACGACCTCATAGAAGACCGGCGTGATGTGGAAGTGTCATACTTCTGTTGAGTGAGGTAGCCGGGGCCCACTTTATTAAAAGGTGGCAACTGATCTGCAGCCCCACGGGTGTTGCAAATGTCCATGGGTGACGGCTACCACATAGTCAGGTGATCCGTCAAGTTTGACACCGTCTTATTTAAAAAGTTGTAACGAAGCAAGAAACCGCATATTTATATAAATTGCCTCCATGGATACCAGCCTAGATCGCACTGTTCGTCTCGCGCGGGAATCGAACTCGCGACCCCCGGCGTCTAAGCCGATAGCTCAGTTACTGCGCCACTGCATAACGCGCTGATGGTGCTATCACGGCTTAAGCTGAATTAATATTTTTTTTAATATTTTAGGACACAAACTAAGGCCATAGTACAACGCCTGTACTGTGGGTACTAAATAACTCATATACATACTTAAACATACTTTTCTTTTGCAAATGAACACATACTCGTGTTATCTTAATAAATTAAAATAAACGTTGGTAAGAGCATAACTCAAGAATGGCTGGACCAATACCGCTAATTTATTTTTTTGTTTGTTCCTTAAGGTCCACGAAGGTTTTAATACTAAAAAAAAAGTACGTCTGTCCGGGCAGCTAGTGCATACATAAACACCGAGACACAAGAAAAACAATATGTGCACCGCACAATACTTTTCCAGTAGTGGGGATCGAACCCGAACCCGCCGGCGCAGGAGGTAGGTACACTGCCCACTGCGCCAGTCGGGTCTTAAATTTAAGCTGAATTAATTACAAGGAACAGTATACTCACTACTGCGCCATTCGGGTCGTAAATCGTAAATTTAAAATGAGTCATCTACAAGGAACTGTATACTTAATTTAATTTTCTACAAGCTTTAATGTTTTCTACAAGTTTTAATGTTTTCTACAAGTTTTGATACTTAATTTCATATTGCAATTGCAGCGATTCGCCAGAGGGCGTGAGCTTCGCCCTTTTGAGCGACTTGATGGCGTTGGTGCGCGAACAGCTGTCGGTTTGCCGCCGCAGCGTGGTGCTCGGCGCGCGCGGCGCTTCCATGTACGGCGCGCTACATTGCGCGCTGCCACGTGCTGGACACGCTCGACGCCCGGTGTGTAGCACGCAATGTACTATAAATATAAACGGGATCTTGTTTCTCGTTATCATGCCTGCTACATGGTAGGACCTCTCCGAGCTCTGAACGACCTCGATGTGGATATAATTGCATAATTTGAAATTGAAATAGAAAAATGTTTTATACATGTATATATCTAGAATTTATAAAAAAAAATGGATAAATTTTTATTATTTTAAAAATAGTTTCTGTATAAAAATTGTGATTGTTGTCAGTTTCACACCGCAGTCATTTCTGTTTCATGAATAGTCAGGCTGGGCCGGGGTATTACCACAGCTTCGCAGAAGACCGGCGTGAGGCAGAATTAGTGTACTCCCGTGTCTTATCTGGTGGGGAGAGTGCCCGGTGCCCACTTCGTGTTGCAACGCATCTGCAACCCCTCTGTTGTTGCACACGCGTATCCTAAGGCACTGTTTATCTTACCATCAAATGAACCGCCACCATGTCAAGGTGGCAAGGTGGCACAAAAGAATATCACTGCCTCATGAGCCTAATCGCTCGAGCCATCGTCATTCCAGCGCGATATCCCAGGACGCGCGCTGGTCGACCCTCGTGGAGGAGGTGGTCGGCACCTGCGCGGAGGTGAACGCGGCCGTGGCCTGCGTGGTGAACAACTCCTCGCCGGAGGGCCACCTGCCCATGGACTCGACGGGCGTGCTGATCTACGACCACGGCAACTCTGCGTGAGTTCCATTCGCCCGTTCACCATTCACACCCAAACCCGTCAGATGAAGCTTTAATAGTCTCGGGACTGAAAGGAAAAACATCAGTTAATACAAGATACCGTTCTCATTCAATCGTTCCCATTCGATCGTAATTATCCATTCAATAGTTCACTATGTACATCATTTTCGTGTTATAATCTCCGGAAGCAACTATCCCGTAGTATACTCGGCGTGAGTTCCATTCACCATTCGTTCCCATTCAGCCGTTCTTACTAGATCGTTCCCATTCAATAATGCATTGCACCATCATTTTCCTGCCTTTGTCCCTAGGTGGGGTCAGCACAAGTGAATGTTGTTGGTGAGCCCAGAGCTCCTGTTGGAATCGCCTTGATATTCTAACCACGCCACCCAGGGAGACGAACCCTGGCAGCGGCGAAACAATTTACAATTCACCTAAATTTTTTTGAGACATTAAAATAAATAGTGAAAATCTCTTAAAACTTTAGTACTCTAAAATAGATACTGGCAGATACAATTTGAAGGTGAAGGTTTATTTAACACTCGATAGGAACGTGACCCTGGAGGACGGTAGACCGGTCACGGCGCAGATGGTGCTGCTCTGCGCGTGGAGGTCCGTCAAGGAGGTAAGGTCTGACGCCTGGACCCTCAGGTCGGGGAGTGACCAGACTGCTTGGTTGTATCCATTTCCCGAGGCTTGATCCAAAAACTATTGTCTTCAATAATTGCTTTATAACATTTCAGTTCAGATATATAAATGTTTAACACAATTTTTTTTTTGTGTCACCGTCGTGAAATGGAAGTGTCATAGATCTATATTTCGCCTGTTGAGTGCGGTAGCCGGAGCCCACTACATTTAAGGGTGACAACACATCTGAACCTACGTGTGTTGCTAATATCCATGGGCGGTGTTTATCACTTAACATCAGGTGAACCGCCAGCCCGTTAGCTACCTTCTCACATATAAAAAACTATCGATTGTTCCTCTCAGGTGTCCCTCGTGCTCGGCTCGATATCCTCTCGGCTGAGCATCCGAGGCGAGGGGCAGGAGCACGGCACCCTGAGCGTGCGCCAGATGGTGCTGATGGGGGAGCATTTCACCAGACTCCTGGCGGAGACCAAGCATAGGGGCGCCTTCGAACAGGCCTACGTCGGGTTCACCAAGCTGCTGTCAAGGTGCAGAGAAACAATGTACCTCTTAGACAACCCGATTGGCGCAGTGGATAGTGGACAGGCCCTTGCGTCAGAGGCTGTGGGTTCGATCCCTACTAAAAAGTAAAAAAAAAGCAAATTGACAGCCACGTCCCACTGCTGGGCAAATGCCCCCTCACAGAGGGTGTTACGCATAGTTCACAACGCGACCCCGCTGCGTATTGACGGACTTCACAGACAGATGATATGTCGTCACCTAATACATGACAGATTAATTAACAAAGTGTAGGACTTGATGAGTGGACAAATTCGACCCAAGGGCTCCAGTAAAATATTTTTTTAAGTTTATTCTTTTTATGACTTTCATCGCGTGGTCATTTTCAGTCGAATCGCTTCAGCGTGAATGTAGTATTCAAGATATCTTTACAAAGATTTGTATTCGAATTCCTTTACTCGTAGCAGCGTGAACGAGCACTTGCAAAAAAAATTCCCAGTTAGGGTAAAACCTACAATTATCGACACTAATGTACGCACGTATTTATTTATAGTTATTATTAAATATTTGGTTCATTCATTCTATGGAGTTTGGATGCATCTGCTAAAATTGAGAATAAAGGCGGGCGCGGTGGTTGTTATCGTTTCGTGTGTAGGCGGTTTTTAGTGTAGGACGTATGCAAGTGATAAGAGCGGTGTGGCAAAGCGGATTGGTCTTGGCGGTAGGCTGTGGCGCTGCCGGAGGGCTGAGCTGCACGGGCTGCCACTAGTCTGGCTGCGGGCGCTGCTCAGGCAGGTGGGGGGCGGGGCAGGGGCCGGGGGGGGGGGGGAGGGCGCGGTGACGTCACGCCTCTGCCCCACGCGCCGCAGCGCCGGCCTGCCCTTCATGATACAGGTGCCGTCCACAGCTCTCCATACCCCGTGCTCCATACTAACATTACGAAACGCTGAAAAATAAAGTTAATGTTGTTTTAAGTTAAATAAAACGAAACCTAACATCTCACAGACATTCTAAAGACCTCTTTGGTTACAATTTAAGTGACCTGTTATGTCATCATCAATTGCTCAGAGAAACTGACTAATTGTGGCCGCGCAACAGTGGTACATCCGGGTAAGCACCAATCGTATGCAACCAATGTGCCACTCGACATCCGTTTCGCCGCGTCGGCTAGTCTGCACGAATGCCACGCTGCCGCAGGCGCTGGTGGCGACGGAGCTGCAGGTGAGCGAGCAGCCGCGCTGCCTGCAGGAGTGCGTGGCCACGCTGCTGCGGCTCTGCAGCGAGGGGGCGCCCCCCGCCAGGGTGCACTGCAGCAACGTGCTGCGCGCCCTGGTGCGCTGCGCTCCCCTGCAGCAGCACGTCGCTCCCTACATAGGGGACGCCCTGGTGCTCGCCCTCAAGGGCTTCGACGGCACCACCTGGGAGGTGAGGACTCGCTCTTCTGCTTCTACCTTCTTCTTCTTCAGCGTGTGTTCGCCCACCGCTGGGCATACGCCTCTCGAATTTTCTTTCATTCGGCACGACTCTTTGTTTCCCTTGTCCGGACCTTACAGGCTAAGTACTATTTGGAATTTGGCAAGTTTCTTTCGACATTATTAGTTTGGTCGCAGTCGATAGTAAACGCCCACGGGGCCATCTTGTTACAATATAAGCCGTTATAAGTTCGATTCTCAGCGCCGGCACGAATGAAATTGTTGGTTCCAAGTGCTGAATTATCGCGTGGTCAATGGTGAAGGAAACCATCGTGAGGAAACGTGCATATTTACGAAAGAAGAATCGAAGATATGCGAAGTCCACTAATCCGTAATGAGATCGCTTTGATATAGAAAGCAGATATCTAGGCTGTTAGCGGATGATTGAGCGTTCGCATAAACTAAGCACGGATGATGAGCGTTCGCAAAACTTGTTTCGGATGATTGGTTCGCATAAACAAGTGCTAAACTAAGTCATCTTTCGGATTAGCGTTCGCATAAACTAAGTCATCTTTCGGATGGAGCGTTCGCAATGGTGATGATTGGCGTTCGCAAAACTAAGTCATCTTTCGGATGATTGAGCGTTCGCATGAACTAAGTCATCTTTCGGATGATTGACGTTCGCAAAAACTAAGTCATCTTTCGATGATTGAGATATGCGATGATGAGCGTTCGCACTAATCCATCTTTTGGATGATTGAGTGTTCGCATAAACTAAGTCATCTTTCGGATGATTGAGCGTTCGCATAAACTAAGTCATCTTTCGGATGATTGAGCGTTCGCATAAACTAAGTCATCTTTCGGATGATTGAGCGTTCGCATAAACTAAGTCATCTTTCGGATGATTGAGCGTTCGCATAAACTAAGTCATCTTTCGGATGATTGAGCGTTCGCATAAACTAAGTCAGCTTTCGGATGATTGAGCGTTCGCATAAACTAAGTCATCTTTCGGATGATTGAGCGTTCGCATAAACTAAGTCATCTTTCGGATGATGATTGAGCGTTCGCATAAACTAAGTCTAAGAGCGTCAAACTAAGTCTTTCGGATGATTGAGCGTTCGTTCGCATAAAACTAAGTCATCTTTCATCTTTCGGATGATTGAGCGTTCGCATAAACTAAGTCATCTTTCGGATGATTGAGCGTTCGCATAAACTAAGTCATCTTTCGGATGATTGAGCGTTCGCATAAACTAAGTCAGCTTTCGGATGATTGAGCGTTCGCATAAACTAAGTCATCTTTCGGATGATTGAGCGTTCGCATAAACTAAGTCATCTTTCGGATGATTGAGCGTTCGCATAAACTAAGTCATCTTTCGGATGATTGAGCGTTCGCATAAACTAAGTCATCTTTCGGATGATTGAGCGTTCGCATAACTAAGTCATCTTTCGGATGATTGAGCGGTTCGCATAAACTAAGTCATCTTTCGGATGATTGAGCGTTCGCATAAAAAGTCTAAGTCATCTTTCGGATGATTGAGCGTTCGCATAACTAAGTCATCTTTCGGATGATTGAGCGTTCGCATAAACTAAGTCATAAACTAAGTTCATAAACTAAGTCATCTTTCGGATGATTGAGCGTTCGCATAAACTAAGTCATCTTTCGGATGATTGAGCGTTCGCATAAACTAAGTCATCTTTCGGATGATTGAGCGTTCGCATAAACTAAGTCATCTTTCGGATAATTGAGGGTTCGGATGATTCGGATTAGGTTTGTTTGGATCGACCTGTGACTTGCTTTAGGAGCGCAACGCGTCCACTCTCCTGCTGAGCGCATTGACCGCCCGCGCGGTCGGGGGCAGCCGGGTGGGGGGCAACCGGGCGGGGGGCGTCCGGGGCGGGGGCGGCGGGGAGGGCAGCGCGCGCGGACGGATCACGGGCCGCCTCTTCTTCCTGCGCTACCCGCGCCTATACGACTTCATGCTGGTGAGTGACCGGTTCTCGTATCGCTTCGAGTGCCGTGCAGTATATTGAACTTGGCACGTCAAGCGCCTTGGGGGACACCATGTGCCGTCAGTTAAGTTTAAGCATGGCAACACGAGGTTTTATGTGTTGGTAAAAAATGAGAACATTTTTTTAATGTAATTTGAATTTTTATAGTTGTACTAGCTTTTCGCCCGCGGCTTCGCTCGCTTTGAAGCCCTTAAATAAATATCTTTCTTTAACCTTTCCACCCTTTTCAACACTTTTTTTCCAATTAAAAAATAGCCGATGTCCTTTCTCAGCCTCTAGACTATCTGTGTACCAAATTTCATTTAAATCGGTTCAGTAGTTTTAGCGTGAAAGCGAGACAGACAGACAGGGTTACTTTCGCATTTATAATATTAGTATGGACTTAACGGCGGGTAAATTATTCGGACATTACGATCCAGGTTTTTTTTCAAATGCAGGAAAAGCTCAACGAAGCCAGCCAGAGTGGGGAGGCGAGGATGAAACCGTCCCTGTACCCGATCCTCCTGCTGCTCGGCAGGCTCTATCCGTCCGCTCTTGAAGGGACCGTCTCCAACTTGAAGGTCAGCCGATGATACTCGCAGAAGTAATGAAACAGCGATCGGTGAGATGGTTACGATAAATAGATTAATATTTCAGGACGCATTTTTACACGACGTTCTCTAGTCCCAAACTAAGCGACGCTTGTAGTACTGCGTACTAGATAACTGATAAACATACTTTTATTTTGTAAATAAATACATATTATACATACTCAGACACTGGAAAAACACTATGTTCATCACACAATATTTCGCGGAACACACACTTTTGACAAACCGAATGGCGTAGTGAGTAGTTAGTATACCTGCCTCCTTCGCCAGAGGGTGTGGGTTCGATTCCCACTACTGGAAAAATTGCGTTTTTCTAGTGTCTGGGTGTTTTTATATGTATAATATGTATTTATTTAAAAAATAAAAATATGTTTATCAGTTGTACAAGCGTTGCTTAGTTTGGGACTAGAGAACGTTGTGTAAAAATGTGTCCTAAAATATTTATATATTTATTATTTTGGGGATCGAACCCACACTCACTACGCTTCATCTTCACCACCCACTACGCCAAGCGATTCGCCAATTTTCATGTTGGACAGCACCGTCCCTGGCCATTGACAGCGATACCTTAGTTTATGGTAGATGGTAGATGAGCCAGCTATTCAGCTGATGGTAAGCGGTTACAATTAACAAGCTTGATATATATACAGCTAGGTTAACAATCACCCCTATTAGGAACAGTTGGTGACACTTTGGTCCAATTCGCCGCTTTTGAGGTCAGTTGGTCCTCTGTTGTGCTGATCCTCATTGAGATCCGTCGGTAGTATCGTTTGAGAGGTAGTGAAAACTGCTTCCAACTCTGTAGCAGACCGAAATATAGCGTTTGGCAATCCGTTTGGCAGCTGAGCGGCTTGGCAAGACCTGTGGCCGCGTGTGACAACGCCCCCCTTTCTTTAACGTGGGTAATATCCTTTATGCCCTGCCACGGAATAGGGGGAGGGTCAGGGGTACGTGGGAGTCCCGGACAGAGCAGGCACCCACTAGAAACCCACGTTACACCTGCACTATCGCATTAGCCGGTGACACGGGACCGAATTTTAGCGTTTGGCAATCCGTTTGGCAGCTGAGCGGCTTGGCAAAGCCGGTGGCCGCGTGCGCCAACGCCCCCTCGCTGTACACGCGCCGTCTGGCAGCCCGCGCTCTGGCACCGCTCGTCTCGCCGCACGCGTGAGTGATTGCCAGTCGCGAACACGCAAACACACACCCAATCACCGAAACACACTTGTTATCTTTTTTTGCCTGCTTACTTGGCAACATCAAAAAAAAATCCATTGGTATTGAATCTTGGACTCTACACTTGAATGTTTGAAGGCGGTTTTAGTCAGATTTTTGTTAATAAAAAGGTTTCACTAGTTTTCGAGACAAAGGTTGTCTCGAAACCCTCGAGAGTAAACACCCATCATCAGTATGACACATAAAGCGCGCGCTAACGCCATATTAAAACATATATTGCCGCCATATTATATATGTAAACATATTCAACCTTCCTTGGGAACAATCAGCCAAATCCGGGAGAATTACTTGTCCCGTGTGGGAATCGAACCCAAACTATCCATAGATAAATAATTGTTATAGATATAGAAGATGGGTGTTCGTCCGTATATGAAATACCTATGCAAAATGTCTTTACAAAGGTACTACATATCATTCAACAGCCAATTTTTGAAATATTTGTGAAAAGTTTTGAAAAACATAACTAAAACTAAACTATGATGTATGCAGTTGATGAAAAACCTTTTGCGTGAACTTTTTTTTTTGCCATTTCAGTTATATTCCGCATATAGAAGAATCCCTGAAATTGATAGCGGACAACAGGATTAGGAGGAATTTCTGTCACGGTCTACTTCTGCAGGTAAAGAACCAGAAATTAATACTTCTATGTTTTTACCAGGCGTAGCAATGTTTCAATATTTCCGAAGTCTACTTGAGTCATTTTTGCTCATGTACTTCGGAAACTGAGTTTATGTCATCGCCTACAACAAAGAAATTGTAAATTGCAATTTGATAATTTTATGGTGCAAGTAATTTAAAACCATCGCCTCACGATCAGCCTTGTACTAGCTGTTATAACCCGTTGATTCTTTCTTTCTCTCTCTATTGTTGAGAACTTTTTACCTAGAATTTCTTTTTTTTTTATGTTAACATTTTTACCTTTAACCTATCGAATCGTTACTTGAATATCTTCCGTTCCTGTTGTCATTATTGTTTTCCGGTTATAATTTTTTATAAGGAAAAGTATTTTTCCCCATGACGTACCAGGTGACAACATTACTGGAGAACAAACCGGACAACCTGGTATTAGGAGAAGAGACAACCGTTCGGATAAAAGTGTTGATCAATCAAACGATGTGGATATTGGAGCATTTCGCGTCAGACCTTCCGTGCTACTTGATAATCGACGAGTACACGAAAATGATCAATTTACTTATATGGCGGTGAGTTCTGCAATCTTAAACCATCCCAGTATTCCCTTCTGTCTTTATCGCCAAGTCTCCTAGTAGCTGCAGTTACTACACTTCTTCGAGTCTGTAACTAGGTTGTCGGCGAGCTTCGTTTGGGGTTCGTTTTCTTTTTTTTATGCGAAAAGTTGTCAAACGAGCAGACGGTCCACCTGATGTTAAGTGAATACCGCCGCCCATGGACATCTGCCACACCCGAGGATTACAGATGCGTTGACAACCTTTTGAAAATTGGGCTCCGGCCACCTCACTCACCAGACGAAACGCGAAAGTATTCGTCATACTTCCACTTTACGCTGGTCTTCGGCGAGGTCGTGGTACTCACCCGGACGAGCCTGCCCATTCGTGCAACAGCCGAGGTTGCTGCGTGGCCCTACCACCGTTAAACTGTATAATTACGTCTTTTTCTGTAATGTTACTCGGTAAGTTTATTCCTATTGAGCACGGTCTTACATACAGGCGTTGCAACTTTGGGTTTCGACTTTTCTTTGATCTTTTGGGTTGCACCTTCTGTACATATTTTTATTGTAACTGAGTAAGTACCGAGTGAGGAAGCAACCTCCCTTTTAAAGTTAAGAATCTTTAAGCATCTACAATAACTTAGATGTAGACATCCATATGCGGCGATAATCACTTGTTTACCGTCTGCTCGCTTCCCACATTCACAACAAGACGTGGTGGTACCATTCAATCTTCCATCATAATTCTTAGTTAACCCATTGGTGTTGGGTTTCGCGCTTTAACATGTTGAAATTACGATTTCAGTTTCCCATCATTGATCGATCGTTTAACGGTACAGAGAATAATAGACAACCTGGAAATGATTTTAACACCACACCGCAAAGAAACAAGTCTTAACTGTGGGATGGAGGTATGCCTCGCAAACGCAACAAGCCTTCATTTTATAATACTGAATAAGTATTGCGGAATCGATGATATTGAAAGACTCGTCTATAAAACACTATACCATCACAATTACGAAGTAGTATTGGCAACGCTTGACTATTTACTGGTTCTTTACGAAGAATTGGACATCGATAATAAACTCCAAGAACATTTGGACTCCATAGCGAGGGATAAAAAAGCCTTAGAATATTTCAGAAAAGATCCAAACTACACGAGAACTCTGTACAATGTGCTAAAAGGCGCTAAATATTTGGAGTGCAGATACAAATGTCTAAAATTACTTTCGCTAGAAGACAACACACAAGAATATGTAATACGGGCCAATTTAATTGTTAACACTGAAATGTCTGCAAAAATGGGGGACGAAGTAATCCTCACAGAGCTGACTCGACTAATCGAAAGCGAACACGAGAATTTGACCCATATTTACCTGTACAGTCTATCGAGTTTCCTGACTAAAAGGCTAATGGATTCCAACATTTGTGGGCGATACGTTCTCGAGACCGTAAGGCTGGTATTCGCCTGCAGTTCGCCTGACAACAGCGATAAAACCAGAAGCGTGGTTGTAGGGTTCTTGGAAAAGAACTTCAAGACGCTAATCGAACTGGAGTTGTGCGATTTGAGCGAAGAAGAGAGATGTAAGTAAATGTTTTTACCGAAGTGTTTTAAATTTATAACTGTGGTAGGGTCACGCAAGTCTTATGTGGCTCGAATGGGCAGTTCCGTCCGAGAAAATTCAGCGACCTCACAGAAGACCGGTGTTTCGTAGAAGTGTAACACTTCTGCGTTTCGTCTGGTGTGCGAGGTACCCGGTGCTGAGTGAGGCTTTATAGTGATGTGGCAACGCACCTGCAACCCAAATGCGGGTGTTGCAAATGTAAATGGGTGGCGGTTTTAACGTTAGGTTAACCGCCAGTTGGCTTGCCACCTTCTCACATAAAAAACCAAGAACTAAGTTTACTGTCGCATATATAGCCTGATCAAAAAAATTTAACACCTCGCCATGTGCCGAAAACAAATTGAAGTAAATTTTTATGTCTTTCAAAGTACATAAAATATTTTGCCTCGTCGCCACCATATGTGGAGACATTGCTGCGATGAACGTTTTTATTCCGTTTACGAAGGTGGATATTTCAGATATTTGGTGGTACTAATAGCGATAACTACAGCAGCCACTACTGGATAGCTTATGCTCGTCATTGCATGCGCAGACGATATAAAATCAGTGATCTTATAAACGAGTTCATGCTTCGTGTTTTGGCCTTTTAAGTATTCAATATTAGTTTTCGAAAGTGATCGCAAGGGTTTAGGTCTAAAAAGTGGATAAATATTAAGCTAAGGTGAGGATTTAGATCTAATGACATGATAAATTTTAACATTTGGTGTGCACATGATAAACAATGAACGAAGTCATGCCCAGTGTTAACGTCCTTTAAGAATTTTCTGAATTTTCGAAAGCAACAGCGCCGGCGGATTGAGGTCTCAGGAGTTGATAAATATTAACAATTAGGAACTGGGGATTTGTAAACTATGATGCATTAGCTAATTTTAGCTCATGCACAGTGTTTGTCTTTTAAGAATTCAATATCAGTTGTCAATCGACGGATTAAGTGAAGAGGGGATCGAGTTCTGAATTATCGATAAACATTAACAGTTGAGGTGAGGGCAACTTTATGGGCGACCCTGGTAACGGTGTTGGAGGACGACGAGCATATTTTGCGCGGGAGGTGTTCTCGAGTAGTGACGCAACTAGTGGGATGCGGCCCAGCGGTGGGCAGCCGCGCCGCCCAGCTGCTGAGGCGCCACGTGGCCAGCGGCAGGCACGGGCTGCCGCTGCTCTGCGCCCTGGCGCTGCTGGACTTCCGGTGCCAGGTGTGCCTGGCGGACGACGCGGACGATGAGGTGGGCGAAGCCCCTTTGCAATTTCAAGTATCATTATTTCAGCCTGTTAAAGTCCACAGCTGAACATATGCCTTATTGTCATTTCAGCCTTTTAAAGTCCGCTGCTGAACATAGCCTCCCACACAGACCGCCACGAAGTACGATCCTGAGGGTGTCTCACTTTGCAATTTCAAGTATCATTATCATCATCATCATCATCATCATTTCAGCCTGTTAAAGTCCACTGCTGAAGATAGTTCTCGACCATAGACTGCCACGAATTAGAATCCTGGACCATCTGCATCCATCGACTTCCCGCACACTTGCACAGGTTCTCACTCCATCTAGTAGAGAGTTCCACACTGCGATGGCCAGTACGAGGCTGCTACTCGAAAACCCTTTCTTTCGAAACTGTTATCGGTTCTACGTTATCGTTATATACCTATATGGCCGGCCCGTCGTCACTTCAGCTTATAATTTCAAGTATACTGTACTTTAATTTCTAGAGCTTTTCTCTGCACTTTTGACTGTGGTAAGATACCAAAATAAAATGACGTATCCCTTATGAGAAGCGTCCAATAGTTTTATTTTCAAATTCAATTTCTATTACTTTAGAAAAAATAAATGTAAAAAACCAAATAATGAAGAAAATGTTCACAGTGTCGAGTTTTCGACCAAAACGAGAAGTACAACGTATTCCTAGAAGAGACCGTGTGGACGGTGGCTTGCGCTGAAGAGATCAAAAGTTTATGCGCCGGCGAAGACCTCTGCGGCCTGGTGCTGGCGCAACTAGAGGAGCCGACCTTCAAGCAGACCTTCGACCGCCTCTGCGGTAGAAACGTGGCGGAGTTCAAGGACCTCTTGGAAGGTTCCGGCAACGCGGTGACCTCCAAAGTCGATTTGTTCGCGCGACACCTGAGTGGGCAGCGGAGCTCGAGCGATTTTAACCTTTAACACCGCTGAACAAAGGCTTGATTGGTGTTTCGTTTTATACATTTTTACAAAACTGTGAATGGACGTAACTATTGGGCTACGTGTCTATGACGATGCGAGTAAATATCTGAACGGAGTAATTGTCTAAGAATCCCAATTGAGCGTTTTTAAAAGGGCCCGAATTGCTATTGGGCGTGTATGTATGTACATACGCGACATAATAAAAATTGATGAAATGAAATCTTATTGTTTTATTTAGATATTTTGAGTAAAATTTTTTCGACGTGCGTGCATACAGACCCCCAAAAACCGACATGATGAACTTGGTTGCAGAGCAACCATACACAAAGAGGATATAACCACAATGTTTGACCATACACATACACGAAACAACATAACAACGAAATCGTTAATGGCAATTTCAAGCTCTGAATTATCACGTGCTCGGCGGTGAAAACATCGAGAAGAATCCAGCATATTTTCGAAATAATAACAAATATATGTGACAAAATTCACATATCTTATCTCTTAATAACCGTTGACCAATGGGTTACCAATGGGTTACGGGTTAAAGGCGCGCGTTGAAACCCAGAGTAGCTTAGCCCCTTTATAAGACCGTCACTCTGATGAAACGTTAAATTAAAGGTAGAATTGTTCAGTAGGACGCAACTTTCAAGCGTAGGGATGTATCGATACATCGATATTTTCTTTTTAGGTCCTGTATTCCAAAAAAAAAGGTAGGTTAGCTACATCAAGTATTAATTATTAGGAACTCTGTACCGTATTAGAATTTCAAAAAATATCGTTTTTGATTCGATTTCGGTATTGATTTTTCTTTTCGGTATATCTGATCCAAATAATCGGCTAAAAATATTTTATATATATTTTTTCGACATCCCTACTCAAGTTGACCAGTACTTATGCGTAAAATCTATTAAATTGAGCGATTTTTGTGAAATAATTGTGAAATAACACAAGATTGTTCATGTAAGATCTAATAATTTTATTTACATAATTTTTTCATACACCCCCAGTCTCCCTATGCTGGTTTTCCATATCAGTTGAAGTACATGTACCAATGTTTTCAATATACTTGTCATAAGAAATGAAAGAAATGTATAGAATAACATGTCATAAACAGTTATTATAAAGCCAACTTTATATGTTATTAACTTAATATGTTATTAAGGATAATAATTTGAGTACATATATATATATATTTTAGAAATTACTACTTATATACTATATATATATATATATATATATATCTACTTATATATATATATATATATATATATATATATATATATATATCTCATAGTAAGTTCTAAAATTAATTGGAAAGAAAATAACAAATATTGTTAAAAGTGCATTATATAATATTTACAAGTTACAATTCTTGATGACCCCATTATATGTCACATTTGCTTTTCAAGTATATTTACGATATTAGACATTAGACAGAGAAACAGATTCTTATCAATCACAATGTTGAACAAAAACACATTTTTATTCAACATAAACTACTTTTGAAATTGTTCCAATATCCACTCTGTAATTAGGTACTGTAAAACAAGCAAAATAAAGTCCTGAAAACAAATATTCCTGAGCTGTTCATTTTCTTAATCTGGATATTTATTATTATGGTGTCAGGTTATCATGTATAAATAAATACATGTACTAAAATTATTAACAAGGACATTCTAGCATCACATTGCTTTTAATTTGTTCTTTCCAACACTGTATTACTTTATTAAGGTTTCTATTTAAACAAAACCAGCAAAAACACTCTTGAACCCATATACGGTGGAGAGAGGTATATGGATAAATTATCTACCACCCTTTGATGCAACCACTACTTAGCACTCATTGGTCCGGGTAAAAATCACTTTACACAAACATCCTCTATAGCTATGAGGAAATTAACGATCACAGAATCTTGTTCCTCCTTATTCTAAACACCTCACTCGCTACTTGGCTGTTCTTGAATTTCGTCTTCTGCTCCTTCCTATCCACGGTCACCATGGACTGCCGCATCTGCTGCACGCTCTTCTCGATGTCAAGCTCGCTCTTCTCCAAGTCAGGTTCGCTCTTTTCCGTTTCGGTTTTGCTGTTCTGCGGTTGCTGTGAGGTTTTCGCGCTGGGCAAGTCGTCGTCGTCTCTGAACAGATCCTTCACCGAGACCAGCCTGTGCGAGTTGCCGACGCGCAGCAGTTGCTTCAGACCTCTAGAGTCCTTCCGCTCGATGAGGCCCAACAGGCCCCAATCTCTGCCCCTCTTGCCCTCCAGGCCCGCCTCCAGTTGCCAGGCGGCGTTCCTCACTTCCAACTTGAGCCTCTCGCACTCCTCGTAGCTCACGTTCCTGCTAACGTTCAACGCCTGCTCCAACGGGTTCACTATGTAGAGCGGGAGAGCGTTTGGCTTCCTCACCGGTGCCCCCTCGTTGATCGAGATCGCCCTCTCCTGGAAGTCGAACTGCGCGTAGAACTCGAAGAACTGCAGCAGCAGCGTTTCAAGGTCATCGTCGCACTGCGAATAAGAATCGGCAGGCAGCTTGTTCGGGTCGCGGAGGAACGTGCAGTTGATGTTCTCCTCCGCTATCCGGACGTCCTCCTTGCCTGCAAATGCACAAAACATTCTTAGCTTTTACAGTTTTTTATTTATGTATAGTGAAACAAAATGACAGATTTGAGGACAACGATTCGCTTAAAATTGTGTAAGTAATTTTTGCTCTTAAGAAATACGAAAAATCGTAATACCAATAATTGGAATTCATTACTCCCAGCGATTTGAATCCTGAATAACTTCTAAAAAACTGGGCCAAAAATGACTATGTTTCATGATTATTTTCTTTGATTCATCCTGAACTTGATTCATCTCCTTGCAAACAAAATCTACCAGTGGTTCTTTAAGACCCCAGTCCAAACCGGCATAAAGCTCTTTTAAACTTTTCTTACAAACTAGTTTACAAATAGAACGATATAACAAAAAAATAATTAAACAACAAGTAACAAACTCACTGGACTTGCTAACTAGCAACTTAAGCGAGGGCAAAATAAAGCCACTCTTCCTTTTCTGCTGCAAGAAGAACAGCACCATCAGGGTCAGCGGGAAGTTGGTGATCCATCTGCCCGGGTGCTGGTTTGTTAGGCCCACGGCCTTCGCCCAGCAGCGGACCGCAAACGTGAGGGGTCTCACGCGCGGGTCTAAAGAGCCGTACAGCCACAGCAGTTCCGACATGTAGAGACCAGATCTGAAAAAATGCGCTTTGGTAAATGTCAGGAATGTGGTTACCATGACAGAAAGGGGTTTGGTTTGGATGTAGATTGAATGGAAGAGGTATGTGTAAACAAAATAATATTACAATAAAATAGTGCTGGAGAAGAGGTGCGGAGGGGCTTACAAGAGGGATAGGGAGTGAGTTGCAATACAGAAGGAAGGGACGGGACAGGTAAGCGCTCGGTAAGAAGTGCGGGGGATGTGGCGGGAAGATCACAAGACGGGTAGAGAGAGAGGGCAATACAGGCGGTAAGGAGGTGGGGAGATTTTTGCCAAGGATAAAGTTTGAAAGGGTTCGCAAGATGGGGATGGAGAGTGAGGCAAAACAGGCGAAGGGGTGGTGACAGATCTTCTTTGAGTATCTATGACAAATGAAATCTTTCCGGCCCAGAACTTAGCAACTTCGACTGCACAGTTCGTGCCATCCATCAAATCCTACTGCGAACAGGTAAACGGGCAGGCATGATACCAGATGACCCGACGAGCCATGGACTGCCCTGCTCCCCAGGTCTGGATTTTCTGAGTCTCCAGCTGAATATATTTTCCTTGCTGCGGCCACCCTGTGTCCGGAGTCTATTTAAAAACTTCCTGATTGGCCATGGCAATCTGTGCCCAGACAAAGGTTGGAAGCGGTGTTTGCGCTACATGCATCTGGCTGATCGAATGATGGGGGCAGATGAGCGAGAGGGAAGATGGCCGAAGGTTCAGGTCTCACGTGTTGGTGCAGCAGAGGTCGCAGTGCAGCGCGGCGAGGTCGTGCGTGCACTTGAGAATGGGCACGCGCGCGGCGAGCACCCGCCGCACGTGCGCCGCTCCCGGCACGCGCAGCTCGAGCAGCGCCCCCACCAGCTCCAGCTGGCGCGCGCCCGACCGCAGCCCCCCCTCCACTCGCTTCTCCTGGAACACCAGCCGGCGGCCGGCGGAGCTCTGCCGGAAAGCGCACCGCTCAATCGCTCGTACCCCGACGCTAACTGGCGACCCGCCAATGCTTCGCGCGGGTGCAATGCAATTATATATAAACCTTCCTCTTGAATCACTCTATCTAGTTAAAAAAGCCGCATCGAGATCTGTTGCGCAGTTTTAAAGATCTATGCATACATAGGGAGAGACAGACAACGCGACAAATTTGTTTTATACTATGTAGTGACTGGCCAGTGTTGAGAAACTACACTGTATTAAATTGTAAACTTTTGTAGATAAATGGACAGAAACTTTCAGCGAAACATATTCGAAATAGCGCTTTCTGGTTTAGACTACATTAAATTTTTTTTTTACGGCAAAGGCGACATCTTGTAACGAGTGCAAATTATTCATCAGTGAATGTTATTTGTAAGGTGTTGTATTCTGTAAAGGATGCACCTAGTGTGACTGTGATGCACCGAAAGTTTTTGTTTATTTATCTACAAAAAAATTACAATTTAAAGTCTCACCTGAGAGCAGAGACTAGCACTAAAAATAAAAATCAATTTTAAAAAATTACTATGCTATTTTCATTTTCTTACTGACAATAACCTATCAGCATTACACTTAATAACAGACCATAATTTGCTAGTAGAAGTCAAGTATTGTTTGTTTTATTTATCACAAAGTGACTAGTGTTTAGCTGTAATTTACTGGTGGTACCAAAGTTATGTAGTTATTTATTTATTTACTGATTCTCCATCATCCTTTTTTCACCTAAACTCGCAGAACTATTTTTTGCGCTTGTCGCCTCATTTTGTTTGTTTAAAAATGAAACTTCCAAAAATATTTTCTACTGATACCTATTACGTTATTATTTTTTATATTACTATATTATAACTATATATATATATATACTATACATTTGTATTATTTATTATTCCTTATGTTGCATATTCTGCAACATAAGGAATTTCTCAGAGCCTAAGGTTTATCAGTGGGTCACACAAATATTTGTCCTGTGTTGGAATCAAACCCACAACCACTGGCAGTGAAGCTAATAGCTTAAGCACTGTGTGAACAATCATGATAATAGTAAAAATATCTTTTTAATTACTTACCATTTCTTCTGTTAATACATTTGTCAGAACCAGATCTAAATCACATCCCATTTTTCCAAAGCCATTAACAGAAGAACCAAAAGGATGTACTGCCACATTAGCATATAAACTCTTGAAAATGCATTCAAGCTGAAATTAAATTATATGCAAATTATTCATCAAATGCATGGACTGCAAAATTGTATGTGTGCAAAATTTATAACATTTTACTATTTGCAAACATTACAGAAAGTTTAGTAAATTTAATTAAATACACAGTCACAATAAGAACTTGGAGTAAGACTGTGCTTGAGCAAAGGCACACTAATATGTGCAGTGAACAAATGCACCACGCACACAAAAATACCATTAAAGTGGGGACCGAAGAGGACACAAAAAGTGGCAACTATGAAGTGGGTGGGTGTGCCCCAGTCTCTCACTTTTCTGATATCTTACATGTGCTACTGCATAGCACCAGGACACTACATAGCTGCCATTAAGTTTTACACGACTTACGGTTAACAAATACCTAAAATACAATAATTCATCTCACCTGCCTGGCCACCATAAACCTAAGTCTCACACCCAGGTCAGTTAACTTTGTCTTGTCGTACAAAAGCTGTATTTGATTGGATACTGTTTCACAATTAAGCAACTCCTCATAAAGCACTTCCTCATCAATGGGTTGAATCCCATCCTTTGTAGCTAGACTTCTGGAATTGGGCCCTTTATGTCTTTCTTTTTTGTTCACAGCTGCTCTAAACCAAAGAAATGGTGACTGTATTGCCATAACATCCATGTCTTTTTGATGAGAGCTACATGCTTTTAAAACTTCCTGCATATTATCCTCTGTATCAAATTCGATGAGCATAAAATGCTGTAAAAAATTATTATTAAAATAATTTGATGAAACTATAGCGCCAAAACAGTTTTTTCAAATACGATTATGCCATTGATGACATTCTTTGTCTTATTAGATAAAAATTATATAGATAGTATCACTATAAAATATAATGCTGTCAAGCTGTGAGGTTTTCTAAGTTTGTGTGTGAGGGTTAAAGTGGATGTGTCACCAAACACTTTTTTTTAGTTTCTTTATAGGAGAAAAAGGGAGTCACTTTTTTCCACTCGCAATTTTATTAACATTTTTGTATGCTCGTTGTTGACGATGGTATGGTGACCATCTCCCACTGGGAGAGGGAGGGTGAAAATTTGCTTGGAGCCAGATAATCAGGTCTGCTTTGACTGACTTTTTAAAGTGAATATTTGTCGAGTTCTAAGTACTGGAGGTGGAGCTTCTTTATGCAATAAGCATTTAGAACAATTAATAGGTTAGTAAAGCATGACTTTAATGACATCTGCACCACAACATAAAATGATTTGACATTGTAGTATGGATTAGTAAAGGTTGTGCTAAAACCATATATAAATTATTTGGAGTGATGTGGAGCATGTTTTAGAAGATATACTTGTATTAGGGTTTAGAAAAATGAGAGTAAATTTTTTATGATGCCTTGATTGGACATAGGCAGTTAATACAATGTCAATAGTTTCTAGAGTCAATAGATTTCTTTTTAGAGCCATTGATAGGTCTATTTTCGCAAGGTGATATACGTCTTTTACAATAAAATCACAAACACGTAAATTAAGGAATAAAAATCTCAAGCAATAACATTTTTTATCAATGGAAATTATATGTTTGGCCGTGAACAAAATGAACTAAACCTTACCTCCTTTTCAAAATTCCTATAGTGGTGTATGTCTCTAATAGTCCCATATTTTGAGCAATAACCATACAGTTCGTTGAATGACGACTCCGAGTTGACTTGAACTACAAGGCTCCTTTGAGCCTCTTCTCTTCGTTGATCTATTATATCGCTAAACCTTTTACATTTTCTTACAGGATCTGAAAACGTTCTATAGACATAACCCCTAAACCACCTTTGAACTGAAATATATATTATATTATCAAAGAAACAGACAATACCTGTATAACTTCTAAGGAATAATAAATTAAATAACGGTATTTTTAACGACTTTCGTAATACACAAAATTTTCCCGTTTGGAAAAAGACACTCATTTTTAAACCAACATTGAATTTCTACAAAACATAAAAACAAAGTGACAAATTCAAAATGTCAAAATCAGTGTCAAAGTTTGACAGTCACACGGAATATGCACAGATGTGGTAGAGATGCTAACGCAACGGGAATATGGATATAAAATAAAAAGACATAAATATTTTTTTTGCGCATTGTAGTATAGTAGGTATCCCGTCAGTCAACCCGGCGGCTATGACATATTCGTTGGATAAGGTCACGAATAGATGCGCACTACTCACGGAGCAGATATCCTAACGCTACACTCAGGAGAGCAAGACAGATTCGTTAAAATCATACGAGACAATCGATGGAATTCTTTCCCGTCGCTATACTCTTTAAGAACGGGCGTTTGTAGGTTCAATTGGTAATACGCGCTTACGACGTAGTCAAAGGTTTAAACCTCGGCTTGCACCGGAAAGAAAAATCTCTCTTGCGTTAAATTATACGACCACCCTACTCCGTGGTAAAGCAAGGCAAATATTACCGTAGGTAAAATAACTCCAACCCTTATGCATTCAAGCTACTAGATAGGCTCGTCCATAACATCCTAGCATTTCCGTCGAATTTTTCGGTCTTTTCAATAACGAGTGATCCTTAACGGTCTCCTTTGCTTTTTTCGCTTCACACGAATGACATTCCTAAAGACCATGTGTCGTACTTGCGCTTTCTCATATAAAACTACACTCTTCTATTCAGAAAACCATCTTGGCTGAATAGTTATTCAGTTTCAGCGACTGCTTTCCCAATCTGCAATACACTTCATTCTAGCTAACGTCACAGCCAACTCCAACTGCCCACCGACCCGAGCTCGCCAGAGTAGTTAATTCAGACAAATCACCTGAAAAACGTCCTCATTGACCAACTGAAGGTCTAGCTAAACAAAACTATGCCCACATGTAGTTCAAAAAACATAACCAATTGATTTGTCTTTACCTACGAACACGGTGAAACTGATAAAAGTGCACCTGCGTACAGGATGATTCTCACTCCATCAATTCCATCATTAATATAGTTAACGGACAGTAACCCAGATGGTCACCGTCCGTACTGAACTTTGATATCCCGTAGGTAATATTACAGCATTCACCAAGAAAATGAGTTTTAAGCCCCTTCAAGTGATTCAAAACAGATTTCTTCGGCGCACCGATATATATGCGGAACGCAAAATTGCATCGTAATCTGTCCCTTTAAGTTGTAGAATTGTCAAGAAACTCCAATAGAATAAATTCCATATAAGTGTTTAGTACAAAAAAACAATCCACATCGCGTCGGGGCCGTGGTGACTCTGAAAGTACTGAGGTTTATATTAGCTAAAACCAGAAAGTCGTTTCTTGGTAGATGCATCAACTTTTATAATAAAATAGGTGACATCCACAAACAACTAAGTATAAACAATTTGTAAAAGCTGCCTTAATGGCAAGGGCCTCGAAAATAATGAAAATATAATGACTCCTTGACGCAGTTGGCAGGCTTCGGCTTCGGGGGTCATGGGTTCGATCCCCACATAACCATGGAACAACTATTTGCGTGACCACCCACATATAATTGTTTCACATCTGAGATCTGAATGTTAGTCCACATGAAATTTATGTTTGTAAAACGTTCTTACAACACAGGATAACGTTATACTAAAGTAATGGCAATGTTTTAAAACAAATAATAATATTAAAAACTATAATAATATTTGTATTCTGTCATTCTGTTCTATAATCTGCTTCTAATGAATTTCTACTTTCCCCTAAAATTTATATTTATATGTCACTGTAAATGTCAAAAACCAAATATGTTAAACATATAAACAAAGCTTGAGTGTAAAATTAGAAATTACTTGACTATTACACATTTTTAACTGACTTACAATGGGTACTCGAATACTAAATCGATTACTTCTTCCAGTTCTACGTGCTTCCTATAATAGGTATCCTAACCTCAGTCGTCAAAATCCAAAAATTACATGTGCATCTTTAAATTTCAATATAGTTAGGAGTTATGCCAAAAGTAAAGATAAAGGAAAAGATAAAAAAGGGAAAGGTGCCAAGGTGAATATCAATACAGCAATGATGTCTGAAGTCGTCGCAGTGGACAAAATCCAAGTCAGATGTAAGGCAGCTATTGAAAAAATGAAAGATGATTTTGCCAAAAATTTATCGTTAAGGTCTACAACCGGCTCTATTGAATCGTTAAAATTGAAGTTTGATGGAAAAGAATATGAATTGCAGGAGCTTGCTCAAATAGTCCGTAAGAATCCAAAAACCATAGTAATAAATTTTAGTTCTTTCCCACAAGTTATTCCTGATGCTCTTAAGGCTATTAACAGTTCTGGGTTGAATCTTAATCCCCAACAGGATGGTACTACCTTGTTTGTACCTGTGCCTAAAGTCACAAAAGAACACAGGGAAGCCTTAGCGAAAAATGCAAAATCATTGTATATAAAATGCAGAGACTCAGTGAAAGATGTGCAAAATGATTTTATAAAGAAATTAAAAAAGCAAACTGGAGTGTCTGAGGACTTGGTATTTGATGTTAGTAAGCAAATAACAGCAATGTGTGAAGAGTATCAAAATGAAGCAAAAAGCATTTATGAAACTAAACACACAGAACTTGTTGGGAAATAATTGCTAAATTCACAAAGTTAATTATTAGAAATATCAATGCAATAAAATATAATTATGTTTCATAGTGCATAGAAATAAATAGTTTAAGAAATAAAATGTTGCTATCTAGATTGGTGTATGGTTTTTTATACTTTAAATTTAAAGCACAATGTTTAATATAAGCATTTACAAGAATGCGCTGTTTGAAGCCTATTTCTAATTATATTTATGTAGAAGAATGCATTTCATAATGTTTCTTAATCCGTTCCTTAAATTCTTCATAATGTTCATCGTAGAAGTTACCTAATCAGGATGGTTAAAAGGACGGCATTTAAAATGCCATTTGATAGCTGATTAGTTAACTTCTACAATTGTCAATGTTTCAGAAACAGGGCGTAGCTCTTATAAAGTTTGGAACATCTCTGGAGTTATGAATGTCCCAAATAACAGTTCTTACTTACCATCCTTTTAACTGCTTGCTTTTGTTGCTATGACTCTGGGAAAAAAATAAAAAAATGGTCATTCTAAAAGTATTTAACAATCAAAATTGGTGCTAAGTTTTAAAGCCTTGTTTATTTAGCTGTGTTTGTAATTGCTGTTTAAATACATAATTACTTATATTCCTATACATTTAATAAAAAAAGTAAAGTAACATCCTATAACTGTCCCACTGCTGGCCTAAGGCCGTACCCACTGCGGATTGGCTATATCTGCGAAATATTTTTTTGTTATTATTTCGAAAATCTGCGGCTTTCCTCACGATGTTTTCCTTCACCGCTAAGCACCTGATAATACAGCACATATAATTAACAAATTCGAGGATCGAATTCAGGTTGCTAGAATATATGGAACGAACTGTTAACCGCGGCTTAAGGGAATTCACAATGAATTTTATCTCGCAGATTGCTTGGATGATTAACGGAGGCGTTAAGATTTTCGTCAGTGTGGCAATCAGCCGTTTAGCTTTGTGGCTAGAGCGTCAGGTCGCGAATGCCGAAGACGTGGGTTCGATTCTCACAGCGGCGACAATCTTTTCGTACTTTTTCTACAAATTTAAAATTATGAGAGTAATATTTTTCTCGGACGGATGTAACAACGAAGTCTTGCGTGTTCGAACTACATTCCAATTTCAAATTACATTATGGCCAAAAATAAAGATACCTATATAATTTGAAACTGACGCGACTCTTGTAGGGTCTCTAAAAATAATCTAATAAATAATATCTAATAAATAAATATAATAAATCTCTCTAATAAAGACGCTTCTGTCTTTAATAGAAAAAGGGCTGTTTCACGTTGCTTTTCCCTTTGGTTCGATTGAAAATGTAAGCATAAAGTCTATACCATAAGTTATGGTCACATATAAAAAAAATTAAAAGGCTAATAATTCGAAAATAAAATGAGTTGGCAAAAAGCCGGTATGCTATATATGAAAAAATAAGAAGAACTAATTGAAAAAATATAAAGACCGTTGTCAAAAGTTCGTATCGCCGTCAAAACAAAACAAACAGTTGTTGTTTAGGGTTTCGAATCGTTGTCTTTAATATTTCTTGCAAAATGGATAGAAACACCAAAAAACTTAATAAAAAGTATAGTACAGTAATGCCTCGTGTCTATAATCGTGCCCGAAGCACTATTAAAACAAGCTCCAGTGTTATACAACGCAAAACTCCAGTAAAAGATATTGGCGCCAAGTCCCTAAGTAATTCGAATATTCATTCTGGTGTTTACAGGGACTTGCCGATAGTTCTTGACAATTATATTCCGGAATCTCCTGACAAAAACGTCATGAAACAAACTTTTGTAGTCAAACCGAAAAAGACGCTAAAATCTTTAGTACCAGCGGAAACATTTCCGCAGACGGTGCATCGTAAATGTGATGACAATTTTCATAATATTCATTTATGTGATTCTGCTCCATCGGTCTTAGAAGGTGATCATATTGGTTGGTCCGATTTCCACGTAAGACAGTGTTTTTCAAGCCGATCCCATACAAGACTGAAGGAATTGAAGGTTAGTCTATTTAAATGGTAATTGATTAGTATTGCGGTTGCTTTTGTGTACATTAATATTTTTAATCGATAGAGGAAATTATGATAAAAAAGCATTAGTTCACACATCACAAAATTAAAATATGCTGTATAATGTAAAAAAAATGCAAACTTATTATTATACTTTAAATAAATATGTTAGCAGATTATTATACTTTAAATAACTAATCTGCTAACTGTATAATTATCTACCATATAGTTGCCATGCGTTAAATATTGCTTGCACATATTACTTGGAGTGAACAGATGTACTGAACTAAATAAAAACTTGTACTAATCCATTGTTTTCCTGAAAATAACATAAAGTTGGTTTCATGCATAAAATCAATTCAATCTATATTTACAAAAACTTTTCTGGCAATTTCAGGAGGAGATTAGAGAATTTCAAGAGAAAGAAAAAATCTTAAAGTTTAAAAATCGTCTTTACAAAAACTGTGGAATTGCATTGAATGATTTAGGCCAAGTGTCCACAGACAAGGCTGTGCAAGCAGATCAAGAAAAAGGTACTAAATACATATGTCGATGTTAAAAACATTATTTAGTTTTAGCAAAGTACTTTAGCAATCTATTTAAAATTTTATATTTTTGCCATTCTTGTTATTAAATAATATATCAAGTATTATTTATATTAGTATCTTATGTTGTGTTATATAGACCTTACATAATTTACAAATTTTTCTTTCACTATGATTAATGACTTTGCAGCCATGTTGTAGTAGCAGTAAAATTTAATTTTCAAGTTAATTTTTTGCTCCAAAATTTTCAAAATCAATTGGGGCTTTTTGGAGCCAAAGTTGTTATAAGTCCATATGAATTACATAATATTTTCATATGGACTTATTTGTTATAAGTCCATATGAAAGTCCTTTGGAGCTATGTGACATAATCATTTGTAACAGGAAAGTATTGAAACCCTGCTGTAAATAATTTTAGTGATTCTTTTACTTTTAAAAACCAAAGCATTAAACTTAACTGCCTAATTAATGTCTATAAACCACTGAATTTCACTGTTGTCCGACAAAAAGTTCTGAAGAGATTGTTATAAAAGCACTTGTTACATTTATTTTTAATTAATGTATTGTTGGATTAATGATACAGCGCCATCTTGTATCGGTTTGTATAACTACTTTGTGCATAGCCTTTGCAGGAATTTTATGTTAGATGTTATAGGTGGAGTTTCATTTTTACTCAATTTTTCCTTTTATTTACTGCGTTACGCACTTCACTGTACTTTATTATTAATTCTTGGGTTAGCGGTCTATTATGAAATCGGTCTATTATTTTGGTATAAATTATTTTTAAGTTTAAAAAAAAAATTTGTATTATTGAAAGTATTTTTTATGCGTTTATTTATTTGAAAGTTATACGTCGGGAGTTTAATTTTAAAATAAATGTGATATTAGCCGTAAAAAAATAGTTTTGCACAATAACTTTTTCAGATGATAATTATAAAGTATGAAAATTATTGCGAGAGTAAGATGATATTTTTAGTAACTGTCTTCACTAGCCGAAATAGCTCAGTTGGGAGAGCGTTAGACTGAAGATCTAAAGGTCCCTGGTTCGATCCCGGGTTTCGGCATCGCTTTTTGCTTCCAATTTATTTTAGATACATTATTAAATGTTCAATAAACATAATTTTAATGAAGTCGTAATCATTTTATGATAAATAAATACGCAGTACATAACATCTCGAAGACAATTCTTTAAAACTTAAAGAAAGAAAGTTTTTTTTTTTCTTAAAATTTTCAATGCGCAATATTTTAATATAATATTTTGGTTAATTATTGTGCTTAATACAGAAATAATTTTCTTTGCTTTTTTTTTCTTCGTTTATTTTTAAACATTTCAATAGAAATTTTAACCGCTCAGTTAATTGATACTTTTGGGTAAATCAATCTGATATTAAGGTTTAGGCGTAAGACTGACTAAGAATCCATTACCGACAGTAAAAATTCAACATTAACGATCTACGTTTGTAAATGTGCTTATAAGAAATCTAATTGTTCACAGGCGTCGACGCAAACGAATCCAGGTGAGTTAAGTTTATTTGTTACTTGTTTTTAAACTTGCCATAAAATGAATGTAATGTTAAGATTTATCATTTTGAATACTTAAATTGTTCTTGTATTACAACTGATTTATTATTTCGCGTCAGTTTGCATCGCCTCTTTAGCTCAGTGGTAGAGCACTGGTCTCGTAAACCAGGGGTCGTGAGTTCAATCCTCACAGGAGGCATCTTTACCGTAAGGCACTTTTTTAGTTTTTTTTTTTAATGTTTACTGCATTATTTATGAAGAAATACATTTTATATTTTGAAAACTGCATGATTTTCCAAAAAATGAAATAACACTACAAGAATAATATTTTTATCGCAGACAAAGATCTACATTTAAGTATTATTTATAATAATTATCGTATCTGAATGTTATTTTGGAAAATTTTCACGTCAACTCGAGTAAAGTGCTGAAAAAATATGTAGTTAATTTGCTAAGCTAAGGGAAAATGGATAATTATTATGATTAGGTTCTCACTTTCAGTGTTTTCTCAAAAACTCGTAAAGATCCAACGACTCCTTGTAGTTTCATAACAACTGCGATAGATGGCGCTACTAATCGGTTTATAAAATTGTATATTATATTTATTAGTTTATAAAGTTTATACTGGGGGATTATTTGTAATTAGCACATCGTTTTTTTTTAAATTTAAAACCTGTAAACATAAACTTCAAAGGAGTATTCTTGTTAACCTTATCAAGAACACTAAAAGATCCACGATATTTTTTTAGTGCTTTTTACGATCAAAACCTCATTTACAAACTTCTACTATTTTCGTACTTTACAATGCTTTCGTCAATACAATAATTCCGCCGCTGGTAAGTCTGGAATACAGTCTGTTCTAATGAACTCAGTGCAGTCTTACTGTACAAAAATACTACGAATAAACCTAGTGAAATATATATACATCAGCATTCCATATTTTCAAGCCCATAATTTAAACGAGCCCAGCTATATTCAAATATCTTTATTAGAAGCATTACACTCACTTATTGATCGTAAAAATACTACTTTCGGTTCGGAAAAGAAAAGCAACTGCTCTGAGAAGATCCGGCGAAAGAAACTCGGCGGGCCTCTTTATTATTACTTATGCCTTTATTTTATAATGAAATATGTATACCATAGTTATAGTCCATTTGAAACAACCTGGAGCGATCAACTATTTTCCAGAGTGTGTTATCATTTAAATAATCACTTATATTATAATAAACCTTTAACACGCAAACGTTTCTTTACATTTTTTTCGAGAACATATAGGTCTAACCTAGATTATAACCGTCAAACCAGCGTCCCGAATTTGCACGTTTGGAGCAATCCAGGGCAAGAGTAAAAGCAAGGTTCACCAGAACGTTGTACTAAAAGAACTCTCCCAATCGATGTTTGTTTTTACGTGAAAGTTGTAAAGTGAAAAAATGGACAGACATCAAGGACGCCGTCAGTGTTTGTAGACTGGCGCAGAATAGAGAAGAGTTCCGTGTGGTGGTCGCCGACATCCGATAGGATAGGGCCACCCCCAAGAAGAAGATGTAAAGAGAACAACGTTACCAATTTGTACGGCGGTTCACCTGATGTTAAGTGAATACCGTAGTTCGTGAGATCGTAGTACATCTCCATGTTGTAGTATAATAATTCCACTTCACGCCAATCTTCTGCGAGGCCGTGTTACTTCCGGATGGACCTGCCCATTCCTGCAACAGCGTAGTGCGAACTGAATTCCGGGCCAACAGTTGTGTGGCCCTACCATAGTAAAATAATTTTATCGCAATAAAAACTTTATAATGTCTTCTCTGATGGCTTAAATAATTCTTATATGAATATTCTCTAAATAATTCCGAAAGGGACTTCTCTTTTGTTTCTCGCCATTTTTTTTTTAATTTGTTTTTATGTGAAAAGTTGCCAAACGAGCAGACGGTTCACCTGATGTTAAGTGAATACCGCCGCCCATAGACATCTGCTACACCAGAGGGTTTGCAAATGCGTTGACAACCTTTTTGGAAATTGGGCTCCGGCTACCTCACTCACCAGACGAAACGCGAAAGTATTTGTCATACTTCCACTTTACGCCGATCTTCTGTGAGGTCGTGGTACTTACCCGGACGAGCCTGCCCATTCGTGCAACAGCCGAGGCCATGTCTCATGTCTCATCTTAACAACTCTGAACAGCATAGTTTTCACAGTGGTCGCAACAGTCTCGTCGCTGTAGCACGTATGGGCAGGGCCGTTCGTGGAAGTACCACGACCTCACAAAGACCGGAGTGAAGCATGTTATAAGTGTGATAGCAAGTGTTATGCGTTATGTTATCTACGTTTGGTCTAGTGAGTGAGGCTGGGACCCCCTTTATTAAAGGCAGCAACGCATCTGTCCATGGGCCGCGGTTATCACTTAACATAACTGAACCGTCAGCTCGCTTGCCAACTTGTAGCATAAAAATTGACAAACCCATCCATCCGCACCGCAACTGCCGCGACATCGGCGTCGACAACGTCCGTCCGGGCTAGCTTTCGGCGTCATTTCCGCTTGCAGCGCGTGCCTGGCACGCGGCCAGTCTATTCCTGCCGACGGCGCGACGCTTTCAATTCGTTACGTTGCCGTAACGTCCGGCCGCCCCTCCGAAGCACACGTTCCCCGGGATACCGTTTCCAGTAGACGTGTTCGGTTCTCAAGCCAGAAGCCCACGAGCGCACTGGAAATTGCGGGCTAGACTCGAGTTGCTTAAGTGAGTAGTAGTAGAATCCCCTTAGTGGACGTACCGACCTCTTCCTCTCTATCCCAGCCAAGTGCGGGCGGCACAATATGTGAATAATATTGTTAAAATAGTATCGCCTGACGTAGAGACTCCTTGGGCAAACAGCCAGACCGGGAACAATTATCTGTGGGCCGCACAAATGCTTGTCCCATTTGGGAATCGAAACCATGACTCCCGGCGCTGAAGCCAATGGCACAGGAACTGCGCAACCGGGTGGTTCATCGAAGGACGTACCGGTAACTGAATTGGGTAATGACGAGACAGTCGGATCTCCAACTGTGTAAGACCATGCATATGTTTTACACATTGATTACCATGACCCTAGCGAAACGGAAATTAAATGAGAATGAGTGTCTAAGTTGCATCACGTTTTATTAAAATAATATGCGTGTCTTCATATATAAATCTCTTATATAAACACGTGATAAAAGTAATAAATAAAAAAGACAATTTTTGACCCTCTCGCTCTAGCCACTAAGATAAATGGCTGATTGCCACACCGACGAATCCCGAAGACGTGGGTTCGATTCCTACGGCGGCGAGAAACTTATCGTTTCCTTTTTCTACAAAAATTTTAATGTTCAATCAATAATAAAAAATAATTGTAAAAATTTAAATTAAAAAAAAAAAGCTTTGCTATGACGCAACGCGCGGTTAATGGAAGTCATTTTCGTACCAAGCGCACCCTTCCTCCTAAACCGAGTGCACGTAATTAGTTCCCACTCTCTTTAACGCAACTAAAAAGAAAAGGATGTAAGAGTTAGGAGAGAGACAGAGTGATTTTCGGTCGTAATGATTCAATGATGCAAAGGGATGCAACGCCAACACTCCCTGGTTCCGATGCCAATTCGATTGCCGCGCGAGATTTTTACACTAATGCCAAAATACCTCATGTGTTCATATCCACAAACTCTGCTTTCTAATTCAAACAAATGCCGGTTTCCATAAAGTTTAAAACATACTATGTAAAGACGAATTTGTTATAGCTCTTGCATAGTTTCAACTGCTGCCCTAATGTAATAAGAGCTCTGTAATAAACAAAGTGACAAACCGAGATCAATTAGCACGGCGGTACGAAACGTATGTCGATATTATTACAGCATCCGTTAGATGTTACAAAAGCACCAATAAAACACCGGGGTAACGTGTAAAACTTGGATTATTGCCGAGTGTTACAGTTCAAAAATACCATCGGATTTATGTTCGCCGCTCTTATTTTGATCTTTAGTATGTGATAGCCGCCTACTTAGTACGTTTTTTTTACTAGCAGTCGAATTGAGGTGAAATGCATCGCATAGATGAACTGTTAGTGTTTATTTATTTATTCTTAATTGCAATTACAAATTACAAGGATTACAAAGGGCGAACTTAATGCCTTTTGGCATTCTCTCCCAGTCAACCCGGGGCGTGGTGAGAAATCGTGGTAGTGTTCGCTTATTTTCAGAGTTATTTTAGATGGTAAGCGAAAGTTGGACTCGACGACGGCTTGTAAGAAAACACAATGTGATAATGGCGTATGATACAGTGCCAAATCTTGGGTGGAGTCGTGAGCTCTTGATGCGGATAATCTGTTTTCATTAGAGAATTACGGTTTCATTATAGAACTTAGCGAAACGAAGCGAAAAAAGCAACTGGACCGCCACATCTTGTTAAAGTCCGATATTATTGTATATCCATAAACGGTAAATAACTTATCATCAGGTTAAGTGCTTGTTGGTTACTTGGACAACTTCAACACCTGAGGGCGTGTAGATGCCTTGTGAAGACGTTAAAATTGTGAGTCCCAGCTACTTCGTGCATCGGGCGAAAAGCAAATCTGAAACTTCCATTTCACGCCGTTCTTTCATGAGGCCGTAGTATTTCAACGGACTAGCCAGCACATTCCCACAACAGCATATATACTCATACCACAAAAACATATAGGCGATGTGAAGTATAACTTAATGATGCCTAAATAACAATCAATCGTCGATTAGTTTTATAATTTTAACTTAAACTTGGCTAGTCCTAAAACCCCGAGCAACTCTTTCATTAAGTAAAAATATTTCCGTCTTCGAAATTAAAATTTTCCTATGTTTCTGTACAATTCCACAACTAATTTAATATTTTGTAAGGACTGAACTTCCGACTGAATAGATACGAACTGTCGCTAGTTATTAGACTATCCAAAATAACTTTTGAAATCGTCGACGTTTGGTGCAGTTAAACTTAAATTGTGAGATTGGTTTTAGTCATACAAGGCGTTTTGTCGTGCCGCGGAAAATGCTCGAGCATAAAAATACGTAAATCTAAATGTTTTCTTTGTTATTTTTGTCTGTGTAATAAATAACGTTCACTACATAATAAATCTAATTAAAATCGCGAATAATTCTTTAGCATAGAAGTGAGTTTAAAATCAACTTTTACTTCGTTAATTTACTCTTCCCTGACCAGGATGTAGAACTTTTAACATATTGGTATTCGCGCTAATATTGAATCCGTCGACTAAATTATTCAAGTGTTTTTAATTTCTTGACCAATTATAAACAGTGTCTATCGAACTTAGTTGTTTTATTGCCCTGGTGAGTCCTAGTCAAAAGTCGCTTACAACGGTAATCCTTGCGAAAGTTACACATTTTTGTGTACATTTTGGCATTTCCGGACCAGTCTTGATAATCCGGTTCCGTCTTGATATTCCGAACTAGTGGTCTTCCGCAGATCCAAATCCTGGCAGTGGTGAAAGATTTTGTGACAGTTTTATCCGTACATTTTTAGGGTTCCGTACCCTAAGAGTAAAAAAGTAGAGTCCCCCTATTACTAAGACTCCGCTGTATGTCTGTTTGTCCCTCTGTCACCAGGCTGTATCTCATGAACAGTTAGCAGTTAGACAGTTGAAATTTTCACAAATAATGTATTTCTGTTGTCGCTATAACAACAAATACTAAAAAAACAATTAAAAAATATTTAAGTTAGGCTCCCATACAATAGACATGTTTGTTTTGCTGTTTTTATATATAACGGTACGGAACCCTTCGTGCTAGTACTAGGCCGTTTTTTAGTATACTCTTGTCATTATTTCCGGACCGGTGCTCTTAGTAAACGTTTCCCAACGCAGTGGACGCATAAACAAACAACATTCCCCGCGAACCAACGTCTGCGAAATTCGAAAAAGTTCAACGTTGCCCCTCGCGAAACCCGTTAAAATCCTCCAACTCGACATCACGGAGGCCGTCGGTTTCTCGTACCAGTTACCTGTTACCGATTTAGCGAGTCGCGTGCGGTAGTCACGCGCGGCTGAAAGCTCTCCAGAAAGTTCCAGAGGAACGGCGGAGACAACGTGACCGGCCTTAAGTCCGGTCCAGTCACGTCCCACGATATTTTCGCCGCCCATTCCTGGCCGTTTGTCCAAATTGTTAGCGGTCTTCTCGCTGCGAAGTTTCGTTTGATGGGATTGCCTTTTTTCTCGCTCGGTCGTATAACTTCTCTCCCTCTTCGAGTTTGTTCCTCCGAGCGATTTGTATAATTGTAAGCTATAAATGTAACCATTTTGGTTTGTTTTTATATATATATATATATATATATATATATATACACAAGAATTGCTTGAAAAGCTATAAATGTAACCATTTTGGTTTGTTTTTATATATATATATATATATATATATACACAAGAATTGCTTGAAAAGCTATAAATGTAACCATTTTGGTTTGTTTTTATATATATATATATATATATATATATATATATATATTGGAATCTCGGAAACGGCTCCAGCGATTTTCATGAAATTGAATATGGGCGTAGATTCGGGGGAGAAAAATCTATCTTGCTAGGTTTCATTTTTAGAAAATGTCCTTTTATCCCTGTTTTCAGGGAATTAAAAATATCATTCGAATATGAGTAATATATTCGAATATCGCCGAAAAAAAAATTTATCATAGCTCGGTCGGTAATCGGGCGGCCCAGGAAACAGGAGGCCGGAGACAGGAGGCCGTGGTTCGTATCACGATCATTTACATACTTTCGATTCCAGATCATTGCTTTCTTTATTTTTTATTTTTTGTCCATCTAGGTGATTTTATTCTTTTTCTTTATTTAAAGTTGTTTCTTTTGTGAAAAACACCACTTCATATTTTCTTATTATTACGTCGGTAACATCGAAAAATATTATGCATATTTCATTTCTCAGTAATTTGTATCTAAATGTAATTTCCAAAATACACGATTTTCCAAAAAAAAAAAACAAACCGAGCAAAGCTCGGTCCTCCAGGTACTATAACTTTAAATAAGCTGTTTGACGCATACGGGCTTTCTAAAAGTTAACAAGCTCATCCCCACTTACTAGGTTTTGGTACTTCATATATTTTCCTCTGGGTCAATATAAAGAAAAAAAATGTCCTTAATCTCGTTTCGTCGACCCTATGCGGAATTTATCACGAACATCCGAACATCTTCTATCTTAGCTGAATACGGCCCGTCTGTAGCAAGTAGTTCTCTGACTGCAGGCCTATTTAGTTTATAACGCTAGTCACGCCTGGGCTAGGGAGGGGTGTGCCCACCACCTCCCCGCCTCGTAGCACGTCGCGACTGCAACGGCCTCACTCGGGTCACGTTCGTCGGCGAATTGTTATTCCGTTGTCGGAACGGCCACGCCGCAAGGACGTCCTGCGACCCAATCGTCCGCTCTGCACGAACTTAACTCGAAGTAGGCATGCGACCACAGTCGCCTAAGCGGCATTTAAGCTGTGTTTAAGCTTCAGACTCAGTTCCCTCACGCATAGTTCACGCATTACGAATTTTGCTAGCTTTCGCACTCATTATCAATCATCTACCAGATATCGATCTATATGAGCTCAGAAAATTTGTATATCAATATTATAGCTTTTAACTTCCACCTGGATTGTGTTGGATTCATCCTCAGGACGCGCTTTAGATTTAGATTTCAAGCGAGCTTTAACGGTACCCGTAATACGTCGCCATCAAATTCCGCTACTACTAATACTACAGTAGTACTACCTAGTGGCGGAATTTGTACACTACGGTAGTAAATCCAACATTGGACACATCCTCTCTCAAGACTCTTGCTTGCCTCTTGCTTCCAACAACTGGACCAATCGAGCCGGACTTTTGCTCCGTCTAAATCACATGACGCGGCATCATAGTGTTTTTCCAAAGACGTCCAAAGATGATGGTCGCAGACGACCAAGGAATCGCCGAAGGTGAAAAAATCGCCAGTCGCATTTATTAAAACCGGTCGCCCGTCTGTCGCGCCCACGTTGATAATGATTGCGAGTGCGTCAGCGATGTGAATACACAAACACACAGTTTGTAAGTTCCCCACGTAGCTGCACGGCGTCGGGGTGATGCCGGACTGGCTGTTACAGCGGCTTAGTGACGAGCGCCAGCGATTTCGAACGCCACTTTCCGTAAAGCGGCAGCGTTTTTGATTTCCTTACTCGTTTTTAACTTGCTACATTTAAATGGTTACATTTGCGTTCTGTATGGCCCACAGATGGGCCGTAAGGGTTGTTATTTGGTTAATACAGTTTTTACGGATGCGAAAACCATACTGACACAACTGATTAGCAAGTACCTCCGGCATAAACAATAATATAACGAAATATATGTAAGTTTGTATGTTCACATATTTATACTTACACTTATGGTTTTGTTTAGATTTGCTTCTTGTGCCTATTTGTACATATTATAGAATATCAAAAGAAATAATAATAACTGTTATACAAACTTGATCACCAAATGTAGAAGTAAAAGGTCCGAAAAATATCGTCGCTTAAATCGTTTGCGTTATCAACATCAGATGAAAAGACTGATGCCTCAGCAAATGTATCTTTTAGTGATGCTTCTAAGACTAACGCTCGTCGTTCACTATTTCTGCCACAGATATGAATAGCATCAAGTTTGTAAACCTAATCTGGATGTAATTTGGATGTTTCGTCATCTATATGTAAGTCTGTTGACTATCACCATTCCGAAATTTATTCTATAACACCCAGCTGTGGATCATACGAATGTGTCCAATTGTGTGTGTATGACACACACAATTGGACACATTCGTATTAAATCTATAATCAGTTTCGTACTAATCAGTTCTCATTGTCGGGTGAGACTATCAAGTTGGAAATCTCAAATCAATTCGGTCACGTGCTGCGTGGAACGAACACACACACATTTCCGCGTTCTTGATATTAGCTCGTGGCCGGTTGGGAATTCGCAACACTTCCGCCCACAATGGGCGCCCATTGTCCTAATCTCGTTATGGTCGGCGGTGCCATAATGCAATTACTATTCAAGTGCACGCCAAGGTCGCGCCTTGTTGGCTCGTGACGTCACGCGCCATTGTGTCCAACGGTGACGCAATGATACCATCGTTGTTGAAATCAGGCGAGTGCTTATGCAATATTTTGACAACGTTGGACCTCCTTGGAAGTCACGACAACAAGTGTTAGGCGCCCCAAACAACAGGCGGTCCTCAGTCGAAACTAGCAGACATGCTCGGGTATCCCTTTGCCTACAAAGTACATAGTATCCTAATACTTACTAAAGTGGTTAACTTTGTGTATTATTTGATACTAGCGAGACGCCCCGGCTTCGCACGGATGCAATGTATTATACATATAAACCTTCCTCATGAATCACTCTATCTAGTTTAAAAAAGCGCATCAAGATCCGTTATAAAGATCTAAGCATACATAGGGACAGATAGACAGAGGGAAGACTTTGTTTTTTACTATGTTATTTGATATTTTCGGACCGCATCTAAACGTTTTTCATTAACGGATAGGTACATAGTTATGGGTAAGGTATTCCAAATTGAAAATAATTTCTTATATTTAAAATTACAGTATTTAGACATAAATAAAATCGTGAGAAAAGGTTTCTTTTAAATTTCCTTTTAATTTCTAAAAATTAGTTCAATTAAAATGAAATTTAATATAACGCAGTTTCTAAGGGGTCATTCATTAATTAAGTGAGGTAATTTTAGAGAATTTTTTAATAGATGAGATTCGACTCTAGTAGTCTCTCCATTCCCCTTGAACACCTCACGTAATAAATTGATAAGACATTTGCTACATAAAAATAAAGGATTCCAAAAGTGACTATAATCGATTGTAGAAGTAGTATAATTGAATTTAGCACAAGTACCGGTATTTTGATTGGAAAAAACTTAGTGATAAGCAACTTGTAAAACAGTACTTCGCCCGTTACTATTGCGAATTAAATAGTTACGCTGCATTCAAATTTATATTGCTGCATATAATGAATTTGATTTGAACAAAACACACTCATTCCTCTGACAAGCATGGGAATGCGTCTCCCTTTTCATTGATATACTAATTACAACATAAAAAACAGAAATATCATTTAAAATAGGTCACAAGTAATGATAAGTTGACGTCATAATGCATTTGCAAATATTAAGTGGCAATAAGAAATCAACAACTATAACGCACCGCAGTTAGCAATCGCCATTTTTGCATTCTAAAGGAGTAACAGGATGGGTAAAAGGAGTGTCCTGAGTAACCATGATTGCTAATTCTTCACATGATTCTAAGCGAGATGGATGAGGAGGAAGTCCAACCAACGGGTGTATCGTGAAATACTGAGTGTTGTCCACCAGTTACCTCGTTCGCCGGCCGAAAAGCGAAAGTATGATATAATATATATTATATACTTTCACTTCCGGTATCCGGCAGGAACGTGGTACTGCCCCGCTGGAATTGGCTTATACCGTCAAGGAAAGAAAAGTATCATACTTTCACTTCCGGCATCCTGTGAGACCAGTCGAGCTGGCAGGAGCTGTGAATTACTTTTCTTTCACGCAAAATACGCCAATGTGCCCGCGCCCTAAACTTGACACGGTGCCAACGCTAATCCTCGGAGAATAATGGGATTTCTTCCACTACGAGCACTGAATGCGGTCCCGCTCCACTCGAAAATGCCCCTCCCCCTCCCTCACCCGCATTAATAGACCGTTCTCGAAATAATGCCTACTCTATGTTTTTTCGAACGCAAAATGAAGGGGTATTTTTTTTCATTTGAAGTCTCGGCATTGAATGTTTAGTCTGGGGTTTTAATTAAAAAAAAGAACGTTTCTATCGCAAAGAGTGCAAATCAGTTCTGTCGTACCTTGGGTAGCTTACTATTGTGTTTTGGGGACGCGTTACGTGTTAGTGTGTTAAAACAAATATTATTGCTAGCGCCGCCTTTGAGTCGATAAACGGACCATGAATGTGTTAATAACGTTTTCATTTCCATTGATTAGTGTTTTGTGTGAAAAAATTCATTTTTTACCCTTTTCTTTGAATATTATCTACTCAGCGGAGAAGGAAAAAGTCAGGAAAAAAAATTCAGGTTCATTTCGAAATGAT